ATTGTGTCTGTGTCCAAATATGTATGGACCGAACTGTAACTTTTCAGATGTGTTTTATGTTTTTTACTAATTTAATTGAATTCTGATTATAGAATGGTGCCCCGCGGAGCCTCAGAGCTGCCCTCTGGAGGTTTGCTGAACTGGCACACCTTGTTCGACCTCAGAAGTGCAGGTGAAGAAAATGTACCTAGACAAAAGGGTGCAAGCAGTGGGGTGGTAAGGATAAGAGGTGACTTCCTCCTAAAGCTTGATAATGATATGAGAATTAAAGGGCCTACCTTACCATGATCATATGTTCGGAATTCAATAAAGAAGTTATTACACTTTTTCTGGTAGTAAGGTCCTGTGCCAGACTTAAAATGCTCTGCCACCAAAACAATCGCAGGTTGTTCTTAAATTTCAAAAGTGATGTGCTTGCTTCGGCAGCAAAATTGGAACGATAGAGAGAAGATTAGCATGGTCCCTGCGCAAGGATGACACGCAAATTCATGAAGCGTTCCATAAAAAAAAAAAAAAAAAATTGCAAAAGTGATGCTATGGCTGCACCACATTCAAAAATATTTTACGTCCAAGTTGAAGCTGCATCAGCATGTTTGCCGCCACTAACTACTCCCCTCCACATCTGTCACTGGTGTCAAGGGCGCTGTCAGCTCCACAGCCAACAGACTGCTAGCCACCGGTGGAGCTGATAGTCATTGATACCTGATGGGGAAGCTGAAGGACTATTCCCATCAGGTCTGCTCTCTCCTTATGTTTGACGGCAGCCAGTGGGTGGTTCTATAGCAATAGCAGGTTGTCTCTTGGCTATGGAATCTGCCTGCTGTCAGTCACAATGGCTCTTGATGGGGAAATAATGTCTCTAAATACCCATCAAGATCTTCAAACCCAGATACAAAACTGCTTGACCACTGTGCTGTCTGGGAGCTCAGTTGCACTGAGGGTGGAGTGTTTGTAGGGCCTCAGTGCACCTCCCAAAAACAAATGTCAGTGCTTGCCCTGCACCTAAAGAAGATAATAGATTTTGTTTAAGCAAAGGCTTTTATATAGTTTTTTAATGGTAGGATTCTTTAAAGTACATTCACAGTAGCCGCTTGGTAAACCAATTTGTTGTTTGCTGTGTAGCAGGGACAAGTGGTGCCTTGTGTTTTGCATACAAATGTAGGCACAATGTGTGAGGTCTAAGGCTTCATTCACATGGGTGGCCAGAGGGGCGATAAAATCAGGAGGCTGATCTACATTTTTACCACCCCCCCAGCCCCCTAACTAAACTGTGCAACAGTGGCTGGAATGGGGTCGTAAATATTGGAGCAGCAACAATGCTTTGCATCATGGCACAGCAAAATTATACAGCATGTCATATTTGGCAGGCAGTACTGTTACTGATTAATGAATAGGACCACGTCGCAGCTGCGAGCCAAAAGTGGAACAGTAGTTCAGTAGATAAAGGGAAAAAAAACCAGGCATTCCGGAGGTGACCATATTGCCTCCTGAATCCTTGGAAGCTACTGCTGTACCTCCGATTGATCACTTTTTATTTATTTATTATTATACAGTATTTATATAGCGCCAAAAGGTTTGCTCAGCGCTGTACATTATAGTGGGGGACAGTACATGAGACAATACAGTAACACAGTAGGGGTTCGAGGGCCCTGCTCATCACTTTTCAGATGGCTGGTGTAGCATGTGTACCACCCATGTGAACCTAGGCATAAATTTCTGGATCTCCGTTTGTGAAGCTGGAAAGGCTGTAAATGTGGAAATTAGCTGATCTAATTTTTTTTTCATATACATAGGGGCCCAAAAAATGTATACAAAATTCAACACAAAAAATATATGCAGAAAAATGTTATTGCTAGATTTATATAAACATCAAAGGGTAGCTGTAAGATATGTTTGAATTGTGCAATTACATTAGGTGCTCAAAGTGGTCATCAGTTGCATCCAGACACTTCATTTCTGCAAACTACTGCATGAACAACATTGACAGACTTTTGCAGCAAGCATGTATTCTGTTGCAACACCATACCTGAGGAAGCAGAACGTGTTGCTGTGTGACATCACCCAGATCTTTGCATGTGTACATCACACACAGTGCCATCGATTTCGAACTTATCACGAATTAGTGCCGTTGTTCGTTGTGTTGGTGGTTCTGTTCCAAACTCACTTCGACATTGTCGTTGAACTTCACACACATTTTCAAAATTACAACACCACTTCTAAATGGTCTTGCATTGCTCCAAAGTCAAGCGCACCTCTGCCATTTTCTTTGATGCATTCCTGAAGGTCATATGTTGACATCAACAATGGTGCAACTACTGACATCTTTAGGGGAAGCCTAATACTACACATTATGCCCTTTTTTAAAACCTGAATTGTTTTATGGCAGCAAACAACAACTGTATACATTTTTGGGCTCCTCTGTATATGTTCCTGCCCTGATTCTTGTGTGGAAAAAGGTTTCTATGTGTTTGATCTTTAACATGTTTTGAGGAGGTAGAGTGGCTCGCAATGTTTGAATTTCTCCATATGCAGGGGCGGACTGACCATTTGGAAACTCGGGCACTGCCCGAGGGTCCGGGGTCAGTAGGGGGCTCCCATGAGATGCCCCTGGTACCTTTTTTCATAGGCTTTTTTGAGTTTGGGCAAGGACATAGGGGCCCCATGATCCCCTATTGCCCGGAGGCCCCATGAGTTGTCAGTCCGCCCCTGTCCATATGTATGATTAAAAAACAACTGCGCTAGAGTATAATGAGACAAAAAAAATAAAAGCAGCTGACAAAGGCAATATTAAAAAATGTAAACAAAGAAATGCAACGCTAATTAAATAATAATGTCCAAATTTAAAGTCCATATACATACTCAAAGAGAAAATGGAACAAAATAAAGGAGAAAAATCTTGATCCCATATACCGTCACCATACAGCCGGGAAAAAATGGCCCCTTGCTGGACTCTTTGACCGTATACAGCGGTCAATATGCGCAGTATACAGTATGGCAAATCATTTCCAATGGATATCCTCTCCCAAATACAGGATGATGACTCCCACTCTGATGGAATTCCCTAAACCGGACTAAAACGCCGATCAGTAAGCATGATGTAATAGGGACTCAGAATGGTAGGTAATCCACAAAAGAAATCCTTTTGCAAATATAAGATGAATGATCCACTTTAAACTATGCAAACTTTAAAGAATCTCCCATCCGGCAATCAGAAAAGGGATAAGGAACAGAGAAAACGCGATAATGCAGTAACCAATATAAACTTTGGCCAATTTATTAAAAGATCCACGTACATCAAATCATAAGATAAATATGTATGATTGTATCAAAAATAAAGGGAAACTCATAAACAAAAAAGACAATATATTGGCAGTATATTTCATTGTTTAGATGTAAGCTGTGTCTAGTAGAGAACTTGTCTGTTTTACAGCCCTCCCCATCTTCTGCACTGTTGTCTACATAAGTCTTCTCTTTCTTCTTGTGTTGCCAGGCCATACTTGGTGAACTTGCTTCCTTGTCTCACCAAAATATCTAAGCGCCAGGAAGAGTCGGTACAAGAAACGCTTGCTGCTGCTATCCCAAAAATCATGGGTGCATTTGGAAACTTTGCAAATGACCATGAAATCAAGGTAATTTTTTGATAGACTTTCAACCTTTTGCTTGCATGTAGACATGCATTAAGAAGTGTTTTAACGTCTGTTTTGGCAATGTGCTGCAGGGCATTGTGTATCCATCATAGTATGATTCAATGCACCTGCTCTTCAGCACACCACAACACTGATTGTGAATTCAATGTGCATTGTAGTCTGCTACACTGGACAACATTAAGGTAGGTGTTTTCTTTAGGGAGGGGGGAGGGTGTTGAAGCTCATTACAGATCCATTTAAAGTGAATAGCTTGCCTTAATGCAGTGTTTCTCAACTCCAGTCCTCATGGACCCCCAACAGGTCATGTTTTCAGGATTTCCCTCAGATGAAACAGCTGTGGTAATTACTAAGGCAGTGAAACTGATCAAATCACCTGTGCAAAATAATGGAAATCCTGAAAACATGACCTGTTGGGGGTCCATGAGGACTGGAGTTGAGAAACACTGCCTTAATGCATGGAATGGTTAGGGGGAAAATAATGTAGTTTTGGTTTGGTGAATTTTTTTATCACTTAAGGTGTATCTAAACCCAAGAAAAAAAAAAATCTTAGGAGTGGAGGTGACATAATTTTTTTGTAAACGATACACCTCCTGTTATAGGGTGACAACAGTATCTATGGATGAGCAGCATTTTCACTCTAGCATGCTGTTGAGTTGGACTACAGAAGACCTACCACTTCTCCCCAACAGATAAAAAAAATTGCTTTTGAAAATATACCAATAAAGGTGCAAATAAGTTTGTTTGTTAGAGTTTGCATACTGTAGACTTTAGGGAGCGATAATGAAGCGCAGCTGTTAAAATGCACTTTTCATTTTAAGAAGGCCAAGTTTTACATATACTGTACCAAGAAGTAATGCAGGCTATAGACTGGTCGAAAACCGTCCATTTAAAAAAAAAAATAAATAAAAAAAAATCGGTCGTTCAATAGGCTGACGTTACCACCAACAGTAAAAAAAATCGTCCAATTTTCGTCCCACCTACAGCCGGCATTTAACTATTAGCCGCCCGGCCAATGGCCAAATGGCAGCGTGCAAAATCCATTAGCGTTCCGGGTGGACGCCATATGGCGCCCTCCCGGGAATGCGCAGTTTGCGTGCCTGCAGAGCCACACAGCGGTGCGATCTTTCACCGGCCATGTACCTCGAACACGGCCCCATTGCCGATACCCTGTGACCTGCTGTGACCAATCACAGCAGCTCACATGACAATTGTATACAATGGATGGCTTCATTCATGCCATCCATTGTATACTAGTGTGTGTAGCTATGATTGGTCACAGCGATCACATGCACAAGCTGGGCTTATCACAGCCCAGCTGTCATGTGATTAGCTGTAGCCAAATCACAGCTAAGCACAAAAAAAAAAAAAAAAACCTGAATGAATCGATGTCATTCAGGTAAATGCTTGCTTATAGCGAAGTAATTCTTTGCTATAAGCAAATTGTGTATAAAAAAAAAAAAAAATACAGATCACTTCCCCAAAAAGTAGTACAATGTTACTATGGTAACTACTTTGGTCATAGTGAAATATGAAAAAACAAATCGTAAAAAAAAATGTAATAAAAAATTAAAAATAAAAAAAAATATTTTTTTTTTCTTTCATACTGTCACCAGTCAGTGTCCCTGATCACTGCCATGCCAGTTATATGAAGACGCTGTACTACACTGGTGACAGTATGTACTACTTTTGATTGATCAATAATCATTTGATCTATACCATAGTTTGTGAACTCTATATACTTTCCTACAAACTAAAAAATACATCCTAATTTGGGTTATTTTCACCAAAGACATGTAGTAGAATACATCTTGGCCTAAATTTATGAAGAACAATTATTTATTTGCAAACGTTTATAACAGAAACAAAGAAAAATGTTTTTTTTTTTTTTTTTTTTTTTTTAATTTTCAGCCTTTTTTTGTTAATTTGGCAAAAAATAAAAACCCCAGCGGTGATTAAATACCACCAAAAGAAAGCTCTAGTTGTGTGAAGAAAATTATAAAATTTTACTTTGGGTACAATGTTGTATGACCGCGCAATTGTCATTCAAAGTGTGAGAGCGCTGAAACCTGAAAAATGTCCTGGGCAGGAAGGGGGTAAAAGTGCCCAGTATGGAAACGGTTAATTACTTCTGTCCCTTGCAGAGAGCTCTGCTATTATATTTGACATGAAAAAGTATTGCGGTTGCAACAATGTATCTATTTATATCCATTTAGGATACAGATGTTTTTATTCAGATACAAATAGATACATTGTTGCAACCACAAGACTTTTCATATAAAATATAATAGCGGACTGGAATTCTTATTCTTCTTTCTTCTTCCTCCTTCTTCTTCCTCTTCTTTCTTCTTCTTCCTCCTTCTTTCTTGTTCCTTCTTCTTTCTTCTTCTTCTTTCTTCTTCCTGGGAAGATTGGCAAAATCGGCCGCATTTTTTCCAACTTTACTGCTAAAAAAAATGTGCCAATACGGCCAATCAATTAACCCATTAACGGTGTGGAAATCGGACGATTTTTTTTTTTTTTCGGCTGAAAAATTGGCCGATTTTCGACCCGTCTATGGCCTGCAGAAGTCTTCATATGTTCAGTCCTGTCTGTCAAGTCAATTTCAGCAGTATGTAGAGGTGAAATGGGGTGGCTGATGTGCATACACCAGAGTGTTCTGTCCCACAAGCAGTTTCATATAAGAACAGCTGTTTCACATTAATAATGGTGCAGTCTCTAATGTCAGCAGATCAGCTGGCTCACTTCAAAATATTGTTGAAATTAATTGTCTTGGATATCTGCAGCCTCATAATTTTATAGCTGTAAGCTGGCTTTCTTCTACTCTTCTTCTCTGAATTGTTCAAGTCTCTCCATAAAGAGTACCTGTCAATGCCTGTTTCTATCACAGGGGATATTTATATTCCCTGTGATAACAATAAAAGCGATTAAAAAAAAAAAAAAAAAAAATTAAAGCAACAGTATAAATAAATGAATAAACAAAAACATTTTTAAAGCAACCTGTCGCCCCCCCCCCCCCCCCCCCCCCCCCCCCCCATCCGCCCGTGCTTGAACGCAACACACGCATCGGTCTCGCACGTGCACAGACAGTGACCATCCCACACATGTGAGATATCGCCGAGGGCAGTAATTCTAGCACCAGACCTCTTCCTCTTGTGTAACTCAAAAGTGATAACCTGTAAAGGCTTTTAAAATGTCGCCTATGTTTAATGAAATTTACACCGTTTGTCGCTGTTGCACAGGCATGCGCAATTTTAAAGCATGACCTGTTTGGTTTCTGTTTACTCAGCGTGACATCCTCTCTTAAATTTTACCAAACAGGTATTCTATTGTGGTTTTGTGCATTAAAATTCAAAGTGCATTTTTTCCAAAAAATGTGTGTTTGAAAAACTGCTGCGCAAATATTGTGTGACATAAAAAATTGCAGCACCCACCATTTTATTCTCTAGGGCCTCTGTTTTAAAAAATATATATGATGTGTGGGGTTCAATGTAATTTTCTAGCAAAAAAATATTTTTTTACTTGTAAGCAAAAAGTGTCAGTAAAGGTTTGGTCTTCATGTCGATATGAATCTTTTAATACTGTCCAGATTGTGTTTTCGTGTGACATAGAATATTGGGGATATCAGGTTGTTCCAGGAAAGCCCATTTTAAAGAGCACCTGTCTGGCCCATTGATTCCACCCCAGCAGAGTCTCCCAGCTGCTGAAGGCTGCTACTGACTGACACTGAATCCCCACAGTGACTGCCCAGCTAGCACTGCACCCAGGAGTTGGCCAGCCCTTCGTATTGGCTGGGAACTTCATTTGTGCCAAGTAAAAGTTACAGTATATCAACAGAAGGAATCTGTTATGGAGCATTATGTTTGTGTAAAAAGCCTCAGGTGGAAGCTGCCCGGTCCTGCATATTCCTTCCAGGGGTGTAATTTTGATTGTGGTGAAGCTGAATGGGTTCCACGGGGGTGTTAAGCAGCATCCACTTCATACTTGAAAACATGCAAGCTGAGTTAGTTCAAACATGCGTGTAAATAGATAAATATCAACTCCATGGCCAAAGTTTGGGAAACCTGACCATGACACCTACAGTAGGTAACCAAAGGCATGTGGACCCCCTTCCCAATTAGTTTCAGGTGTTTCCAGTGAAGGATTCTGTTCATTCTGCAGCATATACAGATATTTTAGACAATTGTGTGCTTCCAGCCTTGTGGGGACAGTTTGGGGAAGCCCCTTTTCTGTTCCAGTATGATTCTACCCCAGTGCACAAAGCCGTCTCCATAAAGTATGAGTTTGGTGTGGAGAAACTTGAATGGCCCAAACAGAGCCTTGACCTAAATCCTACTGAAAACCTTTGCGATGAATTGGATCAGCAATTGCCAGCCAGTTATTTTCATGTAACATCAGTACTTGACCTCACTGACACAAGAATGCCTTCATAGAAGAGCAAAGCTTAATATTGCCACAAAGGGGAGCTAGCTTCATATTAATGGCCATGGTTTTGAAATTGGTGTCCAGCAAACTCATGTAGGTGTGATGGTCAGGTGTCCACAAATCTTTTACCACATAGTGAAATCTGTACAGAAGATCTCTGGAGACTCTTTTGCATCCACCACAATCTGATGTCTGTAGGCGACTTTTGAAAAAGAAATGTGAAAGAAGTGAACATTACGATATTTTAGATACGTTGAGATAGCAGGCACAGTGCTTAGAACGTTTATTACATGTAGTGTTATGTCAACGGAGGGATTTTGTTGTTTTTATGTTGCATTATGTGCTGTGTTGTATAATCACCCTGTGTTATATATTACAGGTTCTGCTAAAAGCTTTTGTAGCCAATCTAAAATCAAGTTCACCTACAATTCGCCGCACAGCAGCTGGTTCTGCCGTCCACATCTGCCAGCATTCCCGGAGAACGCAGTACTTCTACACATGGCTTCTCAATGTCCTTCTGGGTAAACTTACACAGATACCTTCTTATTGTAGGAAAACACAGGAGCATGCAAAATATTGAAATGGGGTCTGTGTACACAGGCCTTTGTTTGTGTCAGTATTGCTTTTCTCACAGTGCAAGTCAATAGGAATATCAAAGCAGCTTGATGCAGCTTAGCAAGTAGTCAACTGTCAGGAACATCAATTTAGGTCCCTTTTCCTGCATACAATGACACACAGTTCAAAGTACTTTGGGAACACTGCGGCACAAATACCTAGATGTGCGAGGCAGAATTCAACTTCTTTATTATTGATTAGGCCTTAAGTAATAAATGATAACACGGCATCAGGTGGTTTCCATAAAGCACCAATCAGAATACAGTAAAAAGATCTCAGTAAACTACTATATGGCTAGTCATAGCAAAAATGCAACAAAATAGTAACTTCTGCAATTTCTCAGGGGAAAAATGTGTGCATAGATAACAGCATTTCAATCCCAAGGGAACATCTTGAATAAAATAAACCAGTTAGTAGGCACAAAGCAAAAGTTAGTTCATTATTAACCCTTTCAGTCAACTGTAGATCATAAGGGCCTGGCTTGTTTTTAAGGATTCATGCAAGACTGGATGAAAAGAAATACAAATCTTTTGGCACGTAAAACTGCTGACATACATATATTGGATCTGTGTATTTAGCTTTTCAGCTGAGTTCGGCTTTAAGAAAACTAAAAGCACATAAGGGGATACTGACCTTGGGGTATACATGTGGTGCCCATATTCCTTTTGCACTTTGGGATTCTTTGAACATTTTTATAATTCATTAGGTTCTCTACCTCAAACAGACCAGTGATTTGAATTACAGGTTATGTTTCACTCTTGCTTATCTGAACTCTGCAGGTCTTCTCATTCCTGTTGAGGATGAACAGCCAACACTTTTAATCTTGGGAGTCTTATTAACACTACGCTACCTGATCCCATTACTACAACAACAAGTGAAAGACACCAGTCTGAAAGGCAGCTTTGGGGTTACTCGAAAGGAAGCGGAAATATCCCCATCTCGAGAGCAGCTAACACAGGTAAGCAGGTCATCAGTACTATGTGTCATGGCAGGCAAAGAAGATTACCCACCCTTTAATCTCATTGTTTTTTAAAATATGCACTCTTCAGTATTTCATGGCACGCCATTGAGAAGCCAGATTAGAAGTGGCCATAGATGGAGAGGAGTTGTCTGGCAATTGTGGAACAAGTTGATTGCATGCTGGGATAAACTATATTTGTGTAATGTTGCCTGCGGCATTCATGTGGACTTTGCATCTCTATTATGCTGATTATTGATAGTTGGGACACTCACAGGAAGATTGCCCATTGATTTTGAAAATCTCCCTGCATAATTATGAAGGCCTCCAACCACTGAAAACACTCTTCATCACTCCCCCTGGGAAATTATAACCCATAGAAGGTCACTTGTACTAAGGGACTGATTAAAGTGGAACTTCAGTCAGAAAATTAAGTTATGCTAGATGACTTCAGGCTGGCCACTTTTGCAGACCTAGCTATGTAAAACATTAAAATAAGTGCCCATACTGTTTAAAATCCAGTAATACATTGTCTTACCCTGTTCTGCACATGCTCAATTGCTCTCTATTTTTAGTCTTTGCAGAATTTGTAGAGGCCATATTGCTGACGTGTTTAAAGCAGAATTTAACCCTCCTATCCTTTACAGCCAAGGAAGCAACTTCTGTTTGATCAGCAACTGCCATTGCTGCTCATGTGATCAGTTATGACACCATCCCAGCATTCCAGGAATGTAACTGTTTTTTGAAACCGTTAAAACGATGGGTTTAGTTCTGCTTTACGATTTGCTGCTGTTCAGGGGCTCTGGGCATCCGCAAAATGGCAGCCTCGAGCAAGAAGAATAGATATAGAAGCAATGCTGGAGGCAATTTATAGCACACACCAATTTTGGTTGCATAAATATTCATGGACGAAGGTATGTTCCTCACTAAAGAACATTATTTTTTTATCAAGCTGTTAATGGTAAAGTTTTACTTTTTTTTTTTTTTTTTTATTTGTATTTATTGAAATTTTTTTCTCAAATGACAAAGAATTTGGACAATACAAAGAAAGAAAGTCAGAGCATATATAACAACTGGTAGCAAATATTGCGGTCGACAGGCAACCGATAGAAGGAGAGTATGCTGTACTAGAATCATACATGCTCTGTGTAGAGCACAGTTAGGAAAACAAAGGACTAAATCTATAAAGAAATCATTATCATAGGGGTAAGTTCCTTACAGCAGGGGTTCTTCTCTGCCCGGTAGGGCATGATGATGGTAACCTGTAGCATAGTAGAAATATAGATGAGAATAATAAAAATGTCCCCAAAGATACATCAGATAAATGATAGCCAGTGGGTCCAACCATTCCCAGGAGCACAAAAATGCTGTGCACAAAACTACAGTTCCACTTTAATGACTCTGGGGTGTTTTTGTTTTTATTTTTCAGGTGTATGAACTGACGTTACATTTTACTCAGCACAGAGATCATAATGTGGTGACAGGTGCTCTGGAGCTGCTGCAGCAAATATTCAGGACTCCTCCTATTGAGCTGCTCCATGTCCTGACATCTTCTGGAGGCATTCAGCATATCAGCATTTGTCGAGATGAGTCTCAGAACCGCAGCCGCAGTGGTAGTATTGTGGAGCTCATAGGCAAGTCATCTATGATGTTCATAATAAACTGAATGTCCTATAGAGATATCAGCAACATAAAAGTTATCTAATTGCCAGTAGTTGCCACAGAGAGAGTTAAATGTATTGCATTTAGCACTTTTGGAACCTGCTATCTTTTCCTCACTCTGCCTGGAGTTTAGAGCTTATATTACTGTTTTAGAGCTCTTTTATACGTCAGTGGATTCAATATTTTATGGAATTGGAGAGAGGCATGGTTTGCTTGTCCCCAAAGTGGACAATGCATTGTGAGAAATAATGGGACAGAGGTGAGTAGTAAATACACAACATATTTTATTTTATTTATTTTTTTTTAAGTTCTGATGTAAGTGATTGTTCTCTATTCTTGAAGCACAATGTTCTTAACACTTATGTCTTCCTAGAAAGACTTTGTTCTCATGTCTCTTTTACCATAGAGACTCACACTGGGGTCATGGTTGAACAGACATGGAAATGCGGATATTATTCCTGGTGGAAACCAGACACAGGGACACTTGCATGATAAGGCAAAGTGCTGATCAGCAACTGTGCTATCTTTCCTTGTTTATGCCTGCTGTAAATAAAGGGTGTTCAGAAGCGAATACTGGCCCAAAATATTATTGTGCTAGTGGAGATGTGCCAGCAAGCAAGGATTAAAATGATTGATATACTTGCAATTAAAAAGAGTGGGGGACATATATCAATTCTGTAGCACTGCTAGGGAATGCTAAACCGGAACAGTGAGGAGAGTTTTTGAGGAATATTTATTCTACTTGCCACCTCATTCATAAATGTCAGGCAGCTTAACTTGTGTCTAAACATGTCTTTGATAAGTGTCACTCAGTGCGTTCTTATCCATTTTTGTTAGGTGATATATCCTGCTCTCACTGATGGGTAGAAACATGTTAATGGGGGAAGAGTGGCAAGGCCAGACTGTAGGTTATTGGCCTGATCCATTGCCAGGGGTCTAGTCATCTGTGGCACATATAATGTATTAGAAAATGTCCTAATTTGCATCAAACTGATTGGCAAAGGGACAAAAGCTTTCATATGGCACTATACTGAAATGTTAACATAAACTTATTTTAGGTGTCTTTCTGGGATGGACAAAAAGTAATAAAAACTCAGAAAAACTCACCATTCTGCTGCCTTCTTTACTTTTTACATAACCAAAAGCCAAAGCATTTGTTCACATGAGCACTGATTCCCCCACTTTAGTAAGCATTGCAAGACCAAATGCTCAGACTTTTTGTTGTTTTAAAAAGCACTGTAGGAAATCTAGAGCTGCATTCTCCCCTGGAACGTGAAGCATGTCAACACTTTAACCCCTATATGTTTGTATATGTTCCAGCTTTCATTTTTTGACTTGGGTATATGTCCACCTGGACAGTTAAAGGTTGATGTGGACAATTTGTGGGTTGCATTACTACTTTTTCTTTCATGGATTACATCCTATTATTGAAAACAGCAGTACTGACTTTTGGAAAACCTAGAAAGCAAATGATCAAAATTTGTGATATATTTAAAATGCATCTAAAACCAATTAGATTTCCTGCCTGCATTTGTTTTCTTTTTTCAGGTTTCTTTCACTTTTATTTTCACCCTACAATCCAAGTGATGCACTTCTTGTTCAGTGGTGACATTTAGGGTGCTTTCACACTGCAGTTTCCCTGCAGTGTGGGTACAGTGCGGTGTACCCATGGTTTTCATGCAGGTTATCCGCTCTTTCCTATAGACTTTTATTAGATTGGGTGGTTTTGATGCTTTTTCTGAAAGCTTGCAGGACTTTTGGTGCACTTCCAGAAAATTTACAAAAATTGCCTGAATTAATAGAAGTCTATGGGAAAGCATGGGTACTCTGCACAAAAGCCGTGGCTATGTCGCCCTGCGGGGAAGCAGGAGCAGAGCATTGTGAAAGTGCCCCTACTCACTCCCTTATTTCTATTGATATAGGACGTTGTCCTATTAGGACAGGAGGCTTATTATAATTACAAAACATTCTCCCCTTCTACATAACTTAAGGGAGGTGTTCTGTAGTCATTAACCGGTTCAGCTCCGCCCTATAGCCGAAATACCGCTATAGTGCGGCACGGGTGTGCAAAATCACATGTGTATTTATACGTGATTTTGCATTTCCGGGTAGGGGGGCCGCATGCGCCCTGCTAAATGCCCAGTTTGCATGAGGTCCAAGGAGGGGGAAAAGCAGCCAGACACAACACAAAACAGGACTGAAAAAAACAATCTGCTGGTAAGATGAGGATTCTGGTAGTCTAAACCACTTTAAAATCAGCTTTAATAAGCTATCTAATCATTACTAATTATTTGATTTGTATCCACTGCTTTGCATGGTAATTAAGTAACCTGTCTTCTGATCTTTATGTAATATGAATCATGCGCTATGGTCCTTCCCTAAATCTGACTTGTGAAATGCATGCCCCCCTATTAATCTCTCTGCACTCTTCCATTCTGTGATTTGCAGCTGGTGGGAGCTCTACCTGCAGTCCTGCTCTGTCCAGGAAACCAAAAGGTGATTATTAGCATTTCCTACAGCCAATCCCTTTGTTCTTTCTGCTTCATTTTTTACTTTTATGTAACCATTTCCTCCACAATCCTCAGCCTTCCTGTAATGTTCTCCCCTGGCAAATAACCAGCATTGTAGAGCTATAGCACTGTCAGGCGCATTTTATAGTTTATTTTCTTTTAACTGTGTGGGTATTCCTTAAAATATTAAAGCGGAGCTCCCCATCAAAACATTACAAATACTGTAGCTGCTGACTTTTAATACAAGGACACTTACCTATCCAGGGATCCAGGCATGTCCACATTCTCCAGTCTGCTTCTGGTGCAGGTGCTGGCATCTTAAATATTTAATAAGGGAAACTGGTGGTGAAGCCTTGCAGTTTCACAACTGGCTTCCTTCTGCGCATTATGAATGGTCTCAACCCTCTGGGACCTGTGAAGTGTCCTAGAAGGCTGCAGGGGAAGGAGGGTGGGCCAAGCTTTTGGCTCATCTGACCGGTAGTGTGTACCTTTCAACTCCCCCCCCCCCCCCCCCTTCCAAAAAAAAAGTGCCACATGTGGCAGTGAAATGGGGGGGGGGGGATGCAAACAAGTGTAACTTCCCCTTTTGGGTGAAGTTCTGCTTTAAAAAGGGCCAATTGGAGCTTTGAGGCCAGTTGCACATGGGCGTGATAATTTACTGATGTTTACTCAGGCACTTGTTGACCAAAAGTCTGTAAGTAAAAAACTGTGTAAAGACCTGAGTAATGTTGAGTATAGGCGAGTAAAGGTGTGTAAGCATATAGACTAGTACAATTTGTCTTCATTGCCAGTATTGTAATATACTCATTTATACTTGCGTTAACATGCCTATAGAAGAGTAAACCCATATGTGAGTAAATGGCTGCACTCAAATGTAACAGTTTCTATTTTTGTTTTACAGCTCTGTACTCAATATTGTATTACTGATCTTGACATAGACAACAATGCATATCATTTCAAATCAGTGAAAAACGCAGCATTTTTGCTCGCATATGCAAGAGGCATGTTTATTTAGAAAATTCCTACAGCTTTAGTCACATCACTGGCCTGTAATGAAGGATGTCCAGTAGTATAATCTATGACACCAAAAATCCTTTATATATCTTCTCCTGGAAGCACCATATACAAAAAGGTACCCAAACCCAACAACATCCAAAATAAGGGCTTTAAATGTGCTACCAGGAAAACCTAAAGATTGTAAAAAAAAAAAAAGTCAATTAAAAATGTTTTTTTATTTTATACATACAATAAATATACTGCTTCTTCCTGATGCTCTGGGCTATGGGTGGTTCCTGGACATCATCACTTTCAACGCTGCATTGTATGTGCGGAGGCAAGTGTGCAGTCGCAGCCGGGAAGTACCTTAGAGAAGAGACTTTAGGAGACTGGATTAAGCATGATTGAGCATTTAATCATTGCATTATAGGGGTGCCCACTGCAAGCTTTTTTTCTTGTGTCTGAATTAGACTTTAAAGGAAACCTGTTATTTGGAAAAAATCAGGAGTTGCTGTTACTATAACCTAAAAATGTTAAGTAGCTGGCTGTCATGGAACTACTTTGCTACCAGTTCCTTTGAACAAAGGTGCAGCAAGTGAAGTACATATGCTTGGTTTTATCATTGTGAACTTGCTCAGAATGGAAAACTACTTCTGATTTATTATAGTGATGCTTAATTAATATATTTTTTTAGATATTCTCCACTGACCCGAAGAAAAGAGTGGCTAGCCACACAGACAAATCCACATTTTTTCACATACATGTGACAGTTACTGAAACACCGTGTTTTTCTTTCAGGAAGGATTGTTGTAGTCTATATTACAGTGGGTTGTGTAGTCCATTTAGAAGTTTACAGTGCAACAGAAGGCATATGATTTTTTTTTTTTATAGTAGCCTGAAAAGCACTGCATTTCCATATAATCATACCAGAAAGATAACTTATGCAATGTTGCTGTAAAAGATGGCCACTTCTGGTTTTGTGTACATTGACAGACCACTATACAATCTGGTCCCTGGATGAATACCTGTCTCTGGCCAGCGTAAAGGCTTAATATACCCAAAAGTGATATCACAGTCTGCCCTAGATGCTGGCAGGTTAAATAGTAAATGAATAGGTTATATCACCATTTTTACTACACTGAACCTTTAACCGTTTCAATACCGTGCGATTTTACACCTTCCTGCCCAGGCCATTTTTCACGTTTCAGCGCTCTCACATTTTGAATGACAATTGCGCGGTCATACAACACTGTACCCAAACTAAAATTTTATCATTTTCTTCACACAACTAGAGCTTTCTTTTGGTGGTATTTAATCACCGCTGGGGTTTTTATTTTTTGCTAAATTAACAAAAAAAGACCAAAAATTTTGAAAAAAAAAACACATTTTTCTTTGTTTCTGTTATAAAAGTTTACAAATAAGTAATTGTTCTTCATAAATTTAGGCCGAGATGTATTCTGCTACATGTCTTTGGTGAAAATAACCCAAATTAGGATGTATTTTTTAGTTTGTAGGAAAGTTATAGAGTTCACAAACTATGGTATAGATCTGAATATTGATCAATCCTGAAGTACTGACAGCCAATCTAATTTCTTGAGGTCCAAGAATGTCAGAACAGTACAGATATCCCCCAAATGACCCCTTTTTGCAGAGTAGACAGTCCGACGTACTTCATAAGAGGCATGGCGAGTTTTTTGAAGTTGTATTTTTTTGTCATAAGTTTTTGGAAAATGAAAAAATGAAAAAAATTATTTTCACTATTTTTTTTTTACATACTGTCACCAGTGCAGTACAGCGTCATCATATAACTGGCATGGCGGTGAACAGGGACACTGACTGGTGACAGTATGAAAAAAAAAAAAATATATATATATTATTATTTTTTTTTTTATTATATTTAATTTTTTATTACATTTTTTTTTATTTTTTTTAAAAACTTTTTTTTCATATTTTACTATGACCAAAGTAGTACAATGTTACCATAGTAACATTGTACTACTTTGGGGAAGTGAACAGTATTTTTTTTTTTTTTTTTTTTTTTTACACAGTTTGCTTATAGCAAAGAATTACTTTGCTATAAGCAAGCATTTAGCTGAATGAAATCGATTCATTCAGCTTTTTTTTTTTTTTTTTTTTTTTTGTGCTCAGCTGTGATTTGGTCACAGCTAATCACATGACATGTGCATGTGATTAGCTGTGACCATTCACAGCTAGGCACTAGTATACAATGGATGGCATCATCAATGAAGCCATCCATTGTATACAACTGTCATGTGACCTGCTGTCACAGCAGGTAGCTGGTACCATGTGACCTGCTGTCACAGCAGGTCACATGGTACCAGCTACGGGAGCCGGTACTCGGATCTGTCATCGGCCGTGTCCGAGGTGCACGGCTGGTGACAGATCGCGCTGCTGCGCCGCTCTGCATTAGCGCAAACTGCGCATGTGCAGGAGCACGCCAAATGGCGTGCACCTGGAATACAGGAGCGCATTTGAAGCCGCCAAACGGCCATTGGCCGGGCGGCTAATGGTTAAAGAATACAGGTGAAACTCGAAAAATTATAATATTGTGCAAAAGTTCATTTATTTCAGTAATGCAACTTAAAAGGTGAAACTAGTATATGCGATAGACTCATTACGTGCAAAGCAAGATAGTTCAAGCCGTGATTTGTCATAATTGTGATGATTATGGCTTACAGCTCATGAAAACTCCAAATCCACAATCTCAGAAAATTAGAATATTACATGCAATCAATAAAACAAGGATTGTACATAGAACAATATCGGACCTCTGAAAAGTATAAGCATGCATATGTACTCAGTACTTGGTTTGGGCCCCTTTTGCAGCAATTACTGCCTCAATGCGGCGTGGCATGGAAGCTATCAGCCTGTGGCACTGCTGAGGTATTATGGAAGACCAGGATGCTTCAATAGAGGCTTTTGGCTCTTATGCATTGTTCGGTCTCATGTCTCTCATCTTTCTCTTGGCAATGCCCCATAGATTTTCTATGGGGTTCAGGTCAGGCGAGTTTGCTGGCCAATCAAGCACAGTAATCCCACGGTCATTGAACCAGGTTTTGGTGCTTTTGGCAGTGTGGGCAGGTGCCAAGTCCTGCTGGAAAATTGAAGTCAGCATCCCCATAAAGCTCATCTGCGGAAGGAAGCATGAAGTGCTTCAAAATCTCCTGGTAGATGGCTACGTTGACCCTGGACTTCATGAAGCACAGTGGACCAACACCAGCAGATGACATGGCTCCCCAAATCAACACAGACTGTGGAAACTTCACACTGGACTTCAAGCATCTTGCAGTGTGTGCCTCTCCATTCTTCCTCCATACTCTGGGTCCTTGGTTTCCAAATGAGATGCAAACGTTGCTCTCATCAGAAAAGAGGACTTTGGACCACTGAGAAACAGATCAGGTCTGTTTTTCTTTAGCCCAGGTAAGACGCTTCTGACGTTGTTTGTTGTTCAGGAGCTGCTTGACAAGAGGAATACGACATTTGAAGCCCATGTCCAGGATCCGTCTGTGTGTGGTGGCTCTTGATGCACTGACTCCATCCTCAGTCCACTCCTTGTGAAAGTACCCAACACTTTTGAATGGCCTTTTCCTGACAATCCTCTCCAGGCTGCGGTCATCCCTGCTGCTTGTGCACCTTTTCTTCCACACTTTTCCCTTCCACATAACTTTCTATTAATGTGCTTTGATACAGCACTTTGGGAACATCCAACTTCTTTTGCAATTACCTTTTGAGGCTTTCCCTCCTTATGGAGGGTGTCAATGATGGTTTTCTGCACAACTGTCAGGTCAGCAGTCTTTCCCATGATTGTGATTCCTACTGAACCAGACTGAGAGACCATTTAAAGGCTCAGGAACCTTTTGCAGGTGTTATGGCCTAATTATCTGATTAGAGTGGGACACTTTGAGCCTAGAATATTGCACCTTTTCACAATATTCTCATTTTCTGAGATTTTGGATCTGGGGTTTTCATGAGCTGTAAGCCATAATCGTCACAATTATGACAAATCACGGCTTGAACTATCTTGCTTTGCATGTAATGAGTCTATCTCGTATATTAGTTTCACCTTTTAAGTTGCATTACTGAAATAAATGAACTTTTCCACGATATTCTAAATTTTTGAGTTTCACCTGTATATCAACACAACATTTCATATATGTGCCTGCTGTACCATGTACTTGTAACAAAAAGTATCTTGTTCTCTTTGTATTGCTTCCTTTGTGTGAAATCCCTGGTGTTCCTGCCAGTCCCTCTGCTTTCCTATTAAAAACAGACTCTGGAGGGCTGCACGTAGATTTGTAGTGCCGTGCGAGTGCATCCATATTAGACTTACACAGGACTCAATGGGTCCTGGCAGCAAAGGGGGAACAGAGAGAATGGGAATATTGGAAAAGTAAGCTCAGAGGAGCAACCCCTTTCCCCCGCTCCCCATCCTGACACCGATCCCCCACTAATTCCCTTAACAGCACCTGACAAGCCGGTGGCACCTTAGGTAATGGGGCACTGGGGGAGCAGCACAAGGGGGGCATTGAAGCAAAGAGGGGAATCCATCTTCACAACCTGATTCCCCTGTGGCTACCCACAGCTATTGGGAGAAGAGAAGCTGGCAGTGCTGCAGTTGGAGACACAGGGAAATCTGTGCTGCATGTGGAGGGGATCAGCGCAGCAGGGGGAGAAGATCAGAGTAAAAAGTTGAGGGGGAAATTTAGAGAGGGGGTAGGAAGATGAGAGCTATGGCGGTAGAGCGAATTTTAGGTAAATACCTGCAATTGGCAGCCTGTCAGCTGCTGATCATAGCTATTTGTTATTTCGGGAGAGTCTGCTGAACAGTTCTGCTGTGAAGTGACCATGAGCTTATGGCAGAAGGGGGAATGCAATGGACGTGCAATGTATTGACCTGGCCAGCTGGAAACGGTTCTGTGCCTCTGTATGCTGTAAGTCCATGGTAGGGTTAAAGGAAAAATGAGCTCTGGAAGTGAGATTACACCTTTATATTCATGGAACAAAAATCTTAGTTATTTGGTAATGAGATTTTCTTGCTTATGTTGCTTGATGTGGGCTTCACAATGCTGTACTGAGCCCTCCTCCTGGGAGGAGAGCTGAGCATTTGGCAGCATGAATCCATAGGAACCTTAAAGGTACCATACCCACCATTAACCGAAGCAAAGGGAAACACAAGCAGAGCGTCCCTAGTGGTCTGGAGGTGAAGGAGGATTGGAGTACTGGCTGCAATCTGGGTGGATTATCATATACATGCGATATGATGCCTATCAGGAGGTGAGAGTTGGCACTTCAATATGTCAAGTTTAGAAGCACATCTTTTTGGATTTTGGTGTTGGATGATCGCTTTTAAGAAGAGTCTATACTATCTAATATCACATTATGGACTGGGTAATATTATTTGTTGGAGTTTATTTTAATCAAGTGCACATATGCTATATGTTTTCTGTGAGGTATATTTTATGCGCATCACAAGTATATTGCTATAAGGAATATACACATACTATATGTTTTTAGCAGCGCAGCATCGCACATTGCACCATTAAGTTTACACTAGTATGGGAACACATTTTGATGCATGCAGGAGCTGCATACACTTTGAGGTATTTATTTAGTCACTTTTGAGGTTGCACAGGAGTTGCGCATCTCACTTTAAATGGAACTGTGCCTACTGAAACTGTATGCAGTAGCAGTAGAATAAAATCACATCCTAGAGATAATAATTGCCTAATTCTGCCTTCGTTTTCCAAGAGAAAAATCATCAACTATTAGGTAGATTTTAGAAGGTACAAAAATGTTTTAAGAATGTTCATGCAAATGTATAATGGTTTTTTTTTTTTTTTTTTTTTTGCCCCAGTTGGAAACTTTTCTTTAAAGGTGTTCAATGTGAGAACTTGTGTGTTATACTGAACTCCCTGGCCGTTAATTTTCTGCTGACTTCGTAACACTTTTCAAACTTTATTTTTTGTAGTTCTTGGGTATTTCACTTCCTGTATTTTAAGTTTTTATTTTAAAATGTTTTATTTGTTGAGTGTATGCCCTTTGTTTCATGTACCAGGTAAGATACACTTGGGGGAAGAGGAAGGATTGGAAGACGAGACGGAAGGCAAGTCTGATGTTGCCACAGCTCCTTTTACAGGTCAGTTGCAAGAGGCATTTAGATTGGTGGGCTTTGCTAAATCTACTGTTCTTTAACCTCCCTAGCGGTCTGATTATGTAAATTTTTCTGTGCTCAAAGCGGTACCTTTTTTTGCATGGAAATATGTCGTTTTTTTATTGTAGGCCTGTCATTTTTAGGAATATCTCACTGAATTCTGTCCGAACAAGAGTCTAGTAAACATCCCGGGTATGATAAAATTTGAAATACAAAATCATAAATTATTATATAACAAATAATCATAAAAAATATAATAATACATTTAATTCAATAATATAATCAAACCAAAAACACTGAAATTTGATATACAGCGCTAAGTTTGCATATCACTGAGCTTAGTTGCAAAATAGTTTTCAGTGTCTGATGACGAATTTCCCCACGAATCATTATCACTCAATTCTGCAAGTGGTTCTGATTTACTATCGCTGTTCTCTAGCTGGTCTAAAACCGCTTTTGACCTAAAGGGACGCGTTTTGGACGCCGTGGACTTTTCTCAGTTTCCAGGCAGAAAGAACAGTAAAAATGCAGGCAGGGCACAGGACAAAGCACTCGGGACAAAATGTATGTGAAATGGTTTGATACAGTAATGTTATACTATGTGATTTTAGTGTATTGAGTGAATGTCCTTTTAATATTTTTGAATTTCCCGCTGGTTCTATCCCCCCATACGTCCCACCACTCGCAGGGAATGGAACCCGGAAGACGGATGCCGGCATTGGCCGGAGGAGATGGCCGGGGACGCTGCAGGGGGAACATCGCGGGATCAAAGGACAAGGTAAGTGCAACAGGGATCCCAGAGCAACGCTGCAGGGTATTCCCAAGTGTAGCTCGTGGTTACCGCTTTTGGTATTGAAAGTTTACCCCGAGCTACTCTCAGGAATACCGCAAGGGAGGTTAAAGAAATCTGTAGTACAGATGGCTACCTGTACGTTAAGTTAGTTGCCTGGGAGCCCTCAAACCCAAGGTGCTTCTATAATGCCAATTCCAACCTTACTTGGCCCTCTCCCATTCTGCGTGTGACATCCTATTATTGGTCATATAGGTTGACTATCATAGATATGGCCAGTAGACACATTGTAAGTGGTGAGGCAAAGCTCCAATTTTAAGAATAAAGTTTATACTTCCATATAGGGACATGCTATGTTTTGGGCACCTATGGTTCTCAAACAGCTAGCTAAAGACATGTGCAGGCAAATGTTATTAACTGCCAGGGGCAGTGTAATAAATATGAATAGAAGGCTGTATTAAAGCTACATTCACTCTGGTAATTAGGTGTGAATTGCAGTGGCAGCTCTTGTTGCGGCTGTCAGTGGTTAGGTGCGGCCGCCGGTTCGTTCACTGTAGCAGGACGCCAGTAGCCGTAGCTATTTGCTGCTCTCTGCACAGCCAGGGATTAGGTGCAGTAATCCCTGGTTGTTCAGAGAGCCGTGATTAGCTACGGCCACCTGCAACCTGTCATTATGGTGAACTGGGTCGGCGGCCGCACCTAACTGCTGAGAACCACAGCAGGTATCTGCTTCCTGGCACTACTGTTTGTATCACCCCTAATCGTCGGTGTGAATGTAGCCTAAGAGTCTTCCTCCATTATTAAATGGGTGGAGTAACCAGAAATGTCTTGTTTATAACATTATTTTGTTTTTTTTCCTTCAAGCTGGGTCTAAGAAGGAGGGGTCATCAGATGTGACTGCATCCTCCGGCGTCCCAAATCCAGCATCTGCCACCTCTCTGGACTCCACAGCTCATGACATCATCACAGAGCAGCCACGGTCCCAACACACACCCCTGCAGTCTGACTCTGTTGATCTTAGCAGCTCAGATGTCCCCAGTACTGTTACAGAGGGGGATGAGGAGGACATTTTAAGCCGCAGTTCCAGTCAGATCAGCACTGTCCAGTCTGACACCAACATGGACATGAACGAGGGAACCACCCAGGCTTCCTCACCAGTGAGCGACAGCTCGCAGACCACCACAGAAGGTCCAGATTCTGCTGTCACCCCCCTTCGGACAGCTCGGAAATTGTAAGTGTGCAGCGGGCAGAGGGGGTATCACGGTCTTCTACTGAAGGGCCGGACATGTCTCAGAGTTCCTCCATGGAGGGCCCCGAGCTGGATACATCAATCTATTCATCATCCTCCTTTTCACTGTCAGCCAATAGTTTTGAAAAGGTCAGCATACCTCTGTCTGAGAGCATGACCTCTTAAGAGGAAAGCATTGCATGATGCTCTTAAAGGCAGGATTGGAGCTTTTCAATCTTTATATATTGCATTTGCATCTTTTGTGCTATTTTTGTTCTTAAAAGCTTTAAAGCAGGGTTCCTTTTTTTCTTTTAATTTCTTGAATAGGGGTTTCCTAGATTTGCAGATTCACCATTCAAGAGCAGTGGTACCCCAACACTTTTTCGCTTATTCAGTAAAGCAGTGCAAGTAGAAATTGGAATCAACTAGTCAGTTATATTTTACTGAAGTGAGATTTGTGAAATATGATTTGATTGTTAATTTGCATAAAAGACGTGACATACTGCACTATGCTTCGCTTTTGTATCACTGAATAAGCTAGTTGGGTTCTAAACGTTAGTAAGAGATTCATTTGCTTGGAAGCACGCTTTAATTTTGCTGGTTATTTTAACATTTTGCAATAACCTTGCTAAATTGTATTTCAAATCAGTCCTCAATGATTTGCTGACTGGCTGAAATAAAAGTTCGGTAAAAACAAAATAATGCTTGTCTGCTATATATGATGACAGCACTTGACGTGTAGGTGTCAGGTATGTTTAACCCATTCCTGTCTGCAATTCCTATCTGTGGATCCAACTGACTGCATGGCTATCTGTTAAACCCAGCTGTTGCTTCAGTCCCCACTAATGATCAGAAACCAGTCAGACTGGTTCCCTAATGTGTGATCACTATGTCAGCTAGAATTAAGTGATCCCTTGTATGGTGAAGACTTCAAAATAAATGAGGCTGTCGCCGAAACACATTAGCACTCAGAGATCTTGCATTAATATTTTGTAACCAATAAAGAAACTGGACTTTCCGCATTGCTGGCTAATATTTTGGAAGATAATTCATTGAAAAAAATGTTTGCAGAGGCAACTGCAGCCTGTAGATAGCATTATGCTTTTGTTTAATACTGTAACTGGCTGAAACAATTATAGTATTTAAAACTTTCTATCTTAAATAACGTATTTTTGAAAGTGTGCCAAATGAAATCCTTACAGTTTAAGAAAATGTGTAAGCTATTTAGGTGGGCAAATTAGTCATATATTTTATAGTCAATTTAACCAACTAGTGTAAGTGCTGCTAGATTTGGCCTAGGCATCTAGGCATAAAAGGGTTAAAGAGCTATTAACCTAATACAGTCTCCCTGTGTGATGAAGCTTTCAGTGCTGACATTTTGGCTGTTAGGATAGCAATGACAGCTTTTATTATTTCTTAGGACCAGTTTCTTTTACTTTTACTGAGGTTATGTTAACCATTCATTTCAGGTCATGCCTTAAACTATCATACAGACTAATTCCCATACCAAAGCCATATAAGTGCAAATGCCTACTCTGTAGAGATGGCTTGGTTGAGAGTCAGTTACCTTATTATGATTTTGGGGTGAGGGAGGAAACGAGGGCACCTGTAGGAAATACTAGAACATACAAACCCCATGAAGTTAGTCATTTGTGGGAATTAAACCCAGGTCACGAATGCTGCATTTCGTGAGCGCAAAGCCACCATACTGAACCAGGTGTATTCACATACACTTCACTGTCCAGCTGTTTTAAGATGCATTGCACTGTGAGTGGTAATAACTAGTCCTTTTTGGAGTATCTGCTCTGTCAGCCAAGCCAGACTTCAGAGTTCTAAGCATTTAATGCCCTTTAATGGGCTACAGGTTGCATTTAACAGACATTGGGCACAATTCACTGAAGCTTATCGCATGAGTTAAGTCAGTCACATGACCACACATCGCATGCGATACTTAAAATGTCAATTCATTATTGCTAGTATGCAGTATTTACCAAAATAGCAAAAAAAACTTGGTAAATACCGCATGAAAATACCTTAAAGTCAATTCACAAAAGGAAAAAAATAACTAAATGCATGCGGTATTTAAGTAGTGGTCCAGGCATGCGGTATGTACTGGTATCTGTCAGTACTGTCATGGGTTGTTAAGGATTAGGTGGCTGCGGAGTCCCTAGCAACCTATGAGTCATCAGCTGTCAGTGGGGAAATCTGAATGTAAAAAAAAAAAAAAAAAATTGCCGGCAATTAAAAAATTATTTAAAAAACCGACGTAGGGTCCCCCCTCCCATCCATACCAAGCCCTTAGGTATGGATGTAGTGAAAAAGGACAGGAGACGGTCTTTCCCAAGTCCTTTATTAAAAGAAGGAAAATAAAAGCATGTCCCCGAAGTAGATCCATCGTCAATCACGATGCCCGCCGCCACCACCCAAAAAGAGAGAAAAAAAAAAAAAGGCTCGGCTCCCGAGGTCACAAAGGTGATGTCACCGGTTGGCCCTGCCCCTTACATATTTAAAAAATGTCAAGCCAGCGGAGCAGTCAGACACCCCGGAGCCAGCGTCGAGAGTAGAGCCTTTCTTTCTTTTTTTCGGGTGGCGGCGGGCATCGTGATTGACATTGGATTTACTTAGGGGGACATTCCTTTATTTTTCTTCTTTTAATAAAGGACTTGTCAAAGACTGTCTCATTCACATGAGGGGGGGGGGGGGGGGGGGGGATCTGGGGGCCCCTTTGCCAAAGGGGGCTTCCAGATTCAGATAAGCCCCCGCCCGCAGACCCCCACAACCACCGCCAAGGGTTGTAGGGAAGAGGCCCTTGTCCCCATCAACATGGAGACAAGGTGCTTTGAAGGCATCTGGCCTGGTATGGTTGGGGGAGGGGGTGCTTGTTTGTCCCCTTCCTTTTCTGACCTGCCGGGCGGCTGCATGCTCTGATAAGGGTATGCTATGAATTTTGGGGAGGGCCCCACACTTTTTTTTTTTTTTTTAATTTTGGTGTGGGGGTTCCCCTCAAAATCCATACCAGACCCAAAGGGCTTGGTATGGATGGAGGGGGGGACCCCACGTTGACTTTTACATTATTTTTTTAATTGCCGGTAATTCTTTCTTTTACATGCACCTGTCAGTGGGGAACCTTGCTGACAGCTGAAACGTGAATGCATGGTTTTCACTACTAAGATACCGCATGACTTGATAAAATAACTCATGCGGTCTTTTGGTAGCGTTTTTTAGTGAATTCAGACTTTTTTTTTTTTTTTTTTTTTAAACATGGTATTTCGATATCCTATGGCATACTCAGATGCGGCAAGTTACCGCTTAGTGAATTGTGCCCAATGACCCTGCACTATGGTTAGTAGGGACATTTCAGTAATTGGATGTCCTCTTTATTGGTCATTTATTGTTTATGAGATTTGGTTATTTTTGCCAGCTGGCTTTATGAGTCTTAGCATGATTTACGGGGTTTTAGTGTGTCAGTGTTCGCTAAACCTGAATGTAATTTTGCACATAGATATTAAATTTAATGTATGGTTGAAGGTTAAAGAAAACCGTGGTAGCCTTTGTGACAAACGCGGTGTACGATCCTTGCCCTTTTCACCAACTTGTGACAAGGGACCGGCTAATCTGACACCTCACTGTCACATAGGAATGTCACTCTCAGCTGCACCCTGCACAAAGATTTTCCAGCTTGCAAAACCACATTCTGAGTGCCAACAGACTGAGCGCAATTGTTACTGGGTTAAGTTACCTATGCTATTAACCATTTAAGCTACCACCACTACCTTTTGACTGAGAAGGCGTAAACTCTTAATCTTCGCAATAACGGATATGAAAAATAAACGTACAAACACTGTCACCACAGACAGGTATATTCAGAGATTTATCATATACAGTAGTACTCTTCAAGAGACAGGGATTCCTTTAGCTTGCTTTAAAAGTCTTATGCAGGCCATAGACGGGTCGTTTATTGGCCAAATTTTCATCCGCGCGAAAAATCGACTGATATTCACGCCGTTAGTGGGGCAATGCCTTTGGCTGTTTTTCATGGATCTTCTTGTTTCTTTTTGTCGGTCATGCTGGAAAATCCACAAAAAAACGGATGATTTTCGTAGACATTGGTGGCAGCAACGGCAACAACTGATTTTTCATTTATCGGCCGTCAATTCGGCCGATAAACGGCTGGTCTATGGCCTGCATTAGGGACATTTTTACAACTTTTAAAAATAGAGTTTAATAATGAAAAGGTCAAAATGATGCAGTTAAAATATTTACAGAAAAAAGGTGTTACAAAGAAAGAAACCATAAAGCAACAGAGAATTAAAAAGGAGATGGAAAGGAAGAATTCTTGTGAAGTCCTTGCTTTTAGCAGAGTCCACTTGTCCAAGCACAAATGGAGCAGTGGCTCTCTCAAGTCCGGTTAGGTTTTCCTTGGTTGATTTTTAAACGAAAGCTGTCAAATCTGCTTGCAATCTTTTTTTTTTTTTATCTGACATCAAGGGGGATGTTGATAGAGACCATCTGACCAATCATCCAGTTTAAGGGGTTATAAGTATTCATATTTCTCAATGCCTATGATTTACAGTCTGCTACCATGCAGATTAATGTCCAGCATGAAATTAACTTCAAAATGGATAGAAAAATGGCAGGCCTCAGATATCCATTTCTCATAGGAAGGCCTAATCTACTCTGGTACCTCCTAGCATAGGGATGTTTGGGTTCCAAATGCTACCCAATAACCGATTAAGGTGAATATGACTTTATTCTGGCTATACTGCCATAATTTCAGAATTTATGAAACATGCTGAAGTTGTAGAATCTTGGCTAATAAGCTGTCTATCAGAAATGTGGATTCCACTAAGGTATTTCTGACCCAAGGTCTGTTAGGTCTTTGGTTTGCCCACGTTTGCTAGGATGACAGTTTTACTAGGGTTTTCAGACTGGAATGGGGATTGGGCTAATAGGTATAATAGGGTCTGTATCTGTCCTGGTCTGATAGGAAGCCTTTGGCATCAGTTAACAGTTGTATATTGTATAAGTCGAAGGATGGTGGGCAGGTCACTGGGCTATGCCTTCTTATGACAAGATGGCATAGGAGACTTGATACATTGCAAAATGGCTGCTACACACACACACAGCTATTTGCGTGCCCAGGACGCGTGACCCTTACAGCCTTCCATAGATATGGAAGTCTACAGAACAGGACAGTAACAGGTCTTCTAAACTGGAACATTTGTCCTAGCATTCCTAGTACATTATTGTAAGCCATTTTCTGAAGCCGAACAGGTCATTGAGAGACTGTTGTGAAAGCTCTTATATTGCTGTTACGCCCCATTATATTGCATTACCCTTGTTATGCTTTCATGCTGTGCATTGTGAGATGCCAAATGACAAAAAGTTTTACTGCTCTCATGCTGTTTAGTTTGGATTGTCTTTGTGCTATTAGTAAGTATCCTTCATTATTTCTGACTTTGTAGGTGATCGATGGTGCTGAGAACCAGTATTCTGGCATGCAGATTGGGCAGCTTCAGGATGAGGAAGATGAAGGAGCGATCATCCACCAGGAAGAGTTAATTAATCGTTTTGGGAATACATCTCTTGGTAGGTTCTTACATTTTAATTCCTATTGATTGTAGGTGGGTGATTTAGTTGGGACACAAGTAGGGGGATATTGGCTTTAATTTAAAAGCATTTTTTGTCCTTGAAGGTTATGCATGCACTCTGGTTTTAGATTTTTGCTATTTATTAGAATATAGTCTCACCTATTCCCGATAAATGACTTGCACACCGTTTCATATTTTGTGGCATTTTCCCTTTAGCCACTTGCCCTCCTGAGGATCCCCCCCCCCCCCCTTCCTAACCAGGCCATTTTTTGCGTTACGGTGCTGCGTTACTTTAACTGACAATTGCGCGGTCATGCAACGCTGCACTCAAATGAAACTAATGTCTTTTTTTCCCACGAATTGAGCTTTCTTTCACTGGTATTTGATCGCCTGTGTGGTTTTAATTTTTTGCGCTATAAAAAAAAGACCGACAATTTTGGGAAAAAAAAACGATATTTTTGATTTTTTGCTATTAAACATGTCCAGTAAAACATTTTTAATGAAAAAAATTTTGTCATAAATTTAGCCCAAAATGTATTCTGCTACATGTCTGTGCTACAAATAAATCCCAATACGTGTAAAATAATTGTAAATGGAATAAACCTGCGCCAAAGGAAAAAATTAAATATAATCCAAATCTAAATGCTGGTGTTCATGAAAGGAAAAAACAATTAAATATAAATATAAACACTCCACAGCGCAAACAAATTATTATAAAATTCATATGTGCAAAGAGTCCAAAAAGAAAGTCCCAAAAATAAGAATGTGCTCCAATCCCAGAAATGGTGCTCAACAAAATCCTCCAAAAGTGCCCACACCATCCATGATTGTCAATCCAATCCCCACTCACCAGATGGAGTGCACTCTTTGCTGGTATGGCTAAAGAGTCAAGCAAGCTATAAAGATGGGGTGTATCCTCCCCAGATACATCTGCACTTGATATCCTCCAAAAGCGATCCCAACGTTTAGATGGCAATGAAAAACAAATAACACAAATCGTGCAATACTGTATACAACTCTTTATTCCTTAATATTAATATTGCTACCCTTAATGCACTCACATGATATACATTGTGTTCACGCTTCTATATCCACCAGAACTGGAAATACATCAATGCGTTTCGCCCCTCCAGGGTGTTCTCAAAGAGGAGGGGCGAAACATGTCGACGTATTTCCAGTTCCGGTTTTGCAAGTGGCAGCCACTTAAATTTTTTTCTCTACTCATCTTTCCTGACTGTTTTTCACTAGCTTTGCATTTGGCTAGGGCAGTGTTTCTCAACTCCAGTCCTCATGGACCCCCAACAGGTCATGTTTTCAGGATTTCCCTCAGATGAAACAGCTGTGGTAATTACTAAGGCAGTGAAACTGATCAAATCACCTGTGCAAAATAATGGAAATCCTGAAAACATGACCTGTTGGGGGTCCATGAGGACTGGAGTTGAGAAACACTGAGCTAGGGTCAGTGTCACTACTAGTAGCATGAGGCAATACCTGGACCCTACAGAGGTTGCACAGGCAGTCCAACTCCTCCAGATTGGCACATCAATATGTGCCATTGCCAGAAGGTTTGCTGTGTCTCCCAGAGAGCTGGACAGGGCCTTAGAAGGTCCTTAACCCATCAGCAGGACCGGTATCTGCTCCTTTGTGCAAGGAAGAGCAGGATGAGCACTGCCAGAGCCCTACAAAATGACCTCCAGCTGGCCACTGGTGTGAATATTTCTAACCAAACAGTCAAACAATCTTCATGAGGGTGATCTGAGGGCCTGACTTCCTCTGGTGAGCCCTATGCTCATTGCCCGGCACCATAGAGCTTGATTGGTATTTCCCATTGAACACCAGAATTGGCTGGTCCGCCACTGGCGCCCTGTGCTTTTCACAGATGAGAGCAGATTCACCCTGAGCACATGTGACAGACATGAAAGGGTCTGGATACGCCATGGAGAACATTATGCTGCCTGTAACATCTCTCAGCATGACCGTTTGTTTTGGTGGTGGGCCAGTGATGGTCTAGGGAGGCATATCCATGGAGGGATGCACAGACCTCTACAGGCTACACAATGGCACCTTGACTGCCATTAGATATCGGGATGAACTCCTTGGACCCATTGTCAGACCCTACGCTGGTGCAGTGGGCCCTGGGTTCCTCCTGGTGCATGACAATGCTCGGCCTCATATGGTGAGAGTATGCAGGCAGTTCCTGGAGGATGAAGGAATTGATACCATTGAATGGCCCCCACGCTTTCCTGACCTAAATCCAATAGAACACCTCTTGGATATCATGTTTTGGTCTATCCGACACCGCCAGGTTGCACCTCAGACTGTCCAGGAGCTCAGTGATGCCCTGGTACAGATCTGGGAGGAAATACCCCAGGACACCATCCGTCGTCTCATTAGGAGCATGCCCCGACGTTGTCAGGCATGCATACAAGCATACATACAAGTGGGGTCCATACAAACTACTGAGTACCATTTTGCTGCAATGAAAATTCATCAAAAAGGACTAGCCTGCTGCATCATTCTTTCACTTTGATTTTCGGGATGTCTTTGAATTCAGTTCTCTGTAGGTTGATAATTTTCATTTCCATCACACGATGGGGCATCCTTACGTTCCTAACACATTACCCAGTCCATATCAGTATAGATATCCAGCATGAGATTTTTTCCACATTGACATCTGATGTGTTTTCAAAGTGTTCCTTTAATTTTTTTGAGCAGTGTATTTGATTGCCACCTTTAATCAGTTGAGTGGTCAAGGGAGGTACAAGTTGCATCCACCTAAGCACAGTTTGTTTACATGCCGTAAATAACATCTCCTGTAGAAAGGTCTTGGCATAGCCGTTCCAGGCCTGATTCTCTACCAACCCCAGTAGACTTACCCCTGGTGTAAACGAAATAGGACCTTTCAATGTAGCTGATAATATATCTAAAATCTGTCTCCAGTGTCTATTGATACTCAGAGAAGTCCACATCAGATGTATAAAATCCGCCCCAGGTTGATAACGCCTCACACATTCTGCAGTAGTCATATGCCCCATAGCGTATAAATTACATGGTGTGAGATATGCTTGATGTCTTATACACAACAATACTACTAAGCGTGATTTACAAGCCTCCCACTACATCTCAGTCATAAGGCTTTTGTGTCTTTTAGTACCGTTTTCACAGATGTGCTGTGTACAGCTTGACAGCTCTGGTTTCAGTACGAATTGAAAAGCAGTTCAGGTCTGATTCAGGTCAGAATTTAAGGAGACAAAAACCAGCCTGAAATCATGTTTACAAACTCATGATGTGTGATTCAGAAGCGGTTCCAATAGAAGTCAATGAGCCTGTAATCCGTACATAAATCGGACAGGACTCTTTCAGTCCGCACTGAATCTGCACTGCCAGTGCTAAGTGATCAGCCACTGTAGGAAACAATGTTATTTCACATGTCATGCGGATTGGTATCAGTTCAAACTGTTTTTAGAATAAGACGTGATGTAATTTCTCTTATAGAATGACAAATGCACCAAAAAGAATGATATCTGTCCTTTACACTGTTAAAAGGACACTTCCATTTTTAGGTTGTAGTGGTATCTGGAGGATGCCTGCATGTGACCACCCTTATAGCTGGCATAGTAATCGCATGATCAGGAACCACTGTGGTCACTATGACATCCACTTTGAATTTCACTTGGCCTTTTTTTAGTAATAGGAAAAGCCTGTAGCAGGGTAGTTTATGGAGCGCTTTTTATGTACTTTTTTTTCTTTTTCTGTAGGGCTGAATCAGAGTCATTTGCTAAAATCCATGGGTCACAGCCGCCAGTCATCAGATAGCAGTGTGGATCGCTTTGTAACAAAGGAGGAACTTGTGGAGCCTTGCGACCTGGAGAATAAGGTAATATATTTCTAGGTAGTTAGCACTGCATACCCCTTCTTAGTGGGAAATAGTCTGAGGATTATTGTTGCTACTGTCATATAGAGAACTGTTACTGTGCTCTTTCTAATTAAAGCCATCTCGGATAAAAGGAGACATTGGACACTACACAGATGGAGATGCTGCTCCCCTTGTTCACTGTGTTCGCCTGTTATCTGCTTCCTTCCTGCTTACTGGACAGAAGGGTGGTAAGAAGTCTAATTGTTACATGTGTTGTCTTTGGGCTTGACAGGTTGGAATAGCTTGCAAGAGATTTTCAGATTAGAAAAACAATGTCTATAACACACCATGGGCTAAACAAAGGTTCACTTTAAGACCTTGTTCTCATGGGGCGTATGGGTCCTTACGGATGTCACATTATGAGCAGCATCTGTATCCTTGCAGCTGCTGCATCCAATTTGACAGCCAAAGAACTGCTTTCATGGGGATGCACAGGACACCTGTGCCTCCCTGTTCAAGTAGACAGGACCCTCAGGTGTGGCACAGATTCATACACCCTATGTGACCAAGACATAACATTTTCAAAAACATTTTCTGCGCTGGGCCAAAACATGATATTTGATACATTTTCTAAACAGTTTTAATATCTTCTTAAGACTTTATTGCTATTTGTTGTCATGTGAATTTTTAATTAGATGTGTAAGTGGCTTTTTTTCCCCTCTTATTCAGATCTTGTACCAGATAGAGATGTGCGGGTGAGCGTGAAAGCACTGGCACTGAGCTGTGTAGGGGCAGCTGTGGCCTTGTATCCTGAATCCTTCTTCAACAAGCTATACAAGCTGCAGACAGACTCTATGGACCCAATAGGTACCAGAACCTATTTTGTTTTCCTAATCGCTAAAGCCCACTTAGTTTAATAAACTTCAGGAGAGGACTGACCAGGGAATCAAATATGTAACTGGCATTGACCACTCTTTCCCAGTCCCCCCATTTATTTTAAAACTGGAAGAGAGGTGCCATGAAAGCATGTTTCAGTGCTTTACATGCTCAGTCCATACGGTAGCATATGGAGGTTGTATGTGGCATCAGCATGCTTGCCAATGAGCTACATAATAATTCTGGAATGGATATTATTCCATGTCCCTAAACTATAAAAGCTCAGCTCTTAATTTGGGTTTATGTAGATCCTGCTAATTTTTTTTTTTTTTTGGAAGATCTGAAAATTAGGTGTTTATATAGCGTTTTATGTAATGCACACTACTTGCACAACCGTCATAATGCTACATGAGAATAATGATGACACTTGTGTTTTCTTTCCCCAAATTCCCCCTTGTAAACATGGTGCATGTATGCTTGCTTTACACTACACCTGTTCATTTTTGGTTTTCCTCAGGCCTCAAACTGCTATCTTAATTGAATGCCATCTAATGTGTATACCCAGTAGAGTTGTATCTCCTGTAACAAAAGTATTTGAAAATGCCATGTGTATAATTTTTGCCTGTATGTTATGTATTTCCATTGCAGATGTGCAGTACGTTTCAGACATCCTAAATTATAACAGTCATGGGGACCCTCAGGTCAGGGGGGCCACATCTATTCTCTGTGGCACTATTGTCTTCTCCATCTTAAACAAGTCCCGATACGATGCTGAGCGCTGGCTGGCCACTGTTAAAAGCTGTACTGGTAACTAACTCCACCTTCTTCGGTTCAGTAATTGATTTTTACATTATTCTTTTTTTGTGCACTAGAGACCCTGCTGCCAGACCATTTATTTCAACAATCTTCCCAGATTATATGTCCGTTTAATGTATTTTATGCATGTTATTTGCCTGTGAAAGCCTTCCTTGTGCAGACATCCAAAAGCCCTAAGGCTGCAGCGCGCCACCATCTGGAATGTGATCCCTAGCAGACTTAGAGCTGTCACGCAATTGACTCTTTATTACAAGAGTGGGCAATTCATTTTCTCAGGGGGCCACATGAGAAACTGGGACTGTTGTGAAGGGCCAAACTTAATTCTGCTCAATATTAACTTTGGACCTGGGAAGATCTACAAGTACGGAAACATACAGAAAGCAAATACCTGGCACTAGGAAAAATAGGTATAACTGATCATGAAATAGGTCTCTTTCAGATGGGTGTTTGGGAAGTAGTAAAAAAGGGAAACTGGGTTGCAGTTTTACTACCCCCAGCCGCCCACCTGAACTGGTAAATAGCCAGATAGGGCTGTTCACATGTCACTACCGCTGCATTTTTGTCTTGGGCTGCAGAGTTTGACAAGTGGCACACTGATCTCCATGGGGCCACTCCTCAACTGCCTGCAATGAACACGATTGCGGGTCAGGAGTGTGGCATTATAGGGTTAAATCAGAAGGTGACAAGGCGATACAACACCGCACTGCCTGTCAAATTCCCTCTGAAAAGCACTGTGATTGGAGGAATTTTCAGAGTATCTGAGTGGCGGGAGAGCATTGCGTTGTCAATTAGGCAACACTCTCCCACCAGAACAGAGCCTCCCCACTGTGCTGATTAGCTCCTCAGGCTCTCCCCTTTCAGTTCTTGAAATTCTCCACATCGACATCCATCAGCTTGCCTCTCTGAGCCTGTGAGCTTCCTTAGCGAGGAAGCGAACAGGCTCAGACAAGCATGCTGACAGTAAAGGCACTGAGGGCCGGATGCGACCCAGGAGCTGCAGTTTGGCCTAGTCTGATCTAGCCACATAATAGGTACTGTAGGGAAGTAATGGGAGGGAACACCACATAATAGGTACTGTAGGGAAATAATGGGAGGGGACACCACATAATAGGTACTGTAGGGAAATAATGGGAGGGGACACCACATAATAGGTACTGTAGGGAAATAATGGGAGGGGACACCACATAATAGGTACTAGGGAAGTAATGGGAGGGGACACCACATAATAGGTACTGTAGGGAAGTAATGGGAGGGAACACACCGAGAAGAGGGGAGATACAGGACTTGCAAGGATATAGCAGCTGTGCTAAGGAATTTACTTTCTTTAATAGTCAAATATTCTGCACATTGCAGTTGAATAAAAAGTCATTCATGGAAAGAAAAACACTGGAAGTTTAACATTTAAAGTAAATCATTTTCACTTTTGCAAATTTATGACGTTTAAGCATTTGTCAAGGATCAAGCTGTGAGGCACTAACTGTTTCTTTTCAGGGAATAGTTTTTCACTGGAAAATTGCATTCCTTTGTTGCAAAAATGTCTGAAAGATGAATCTTCTGTGACCTGCAAGCTGACCTGTGTGGCAGTCCGGGTAAGTGTGTCCTGTGTATTCTAGCAAAGCAAATATGCAAAACCATATACTGTGCTCAAATATAATATAAATGTGACTTAAAGTCACAAGTGCAGTTTACCACTCAGTTTTTAAAAACTATAAAGAACAGTCATGTTCCAGTCAGTTCAGTGATCAGCAATTGTTGCAGTCCATAAATGTACTATTTTTAAAAAAAATTTTAACATTTGCTTTCAAGACACATTTGTGACATGCATACAATTCTGTGCAATTTGTGGACTGCAACAATGTTTTCATATTTTGTGTTTACATACTGAAGCTAAAACATTTTGTTTTATATGAAGTAAGGATTGGTTAAAACCCTGTAGATTTTTTTCATGCTCCACTAGGGAACCTTTCATTTCTTGCCCAGTAAACAAAGCAGGAGGTGAGAGGATATCTTTCCAATGTGAGGAACATCCCCTCTTAACACCTTATTGTGGACCCCAATGGTCCTTTATGGGATCTTTAATGCCTGGAAGGCGGTGCAACGTCTGTATCATGTGACCTTTATGATTGGACCTCACAGCAGTACAATGATCAGGAGCTCATTTTGCTGGCTCCTGATCAGAAGCCATGACCAAAAGCTGCCTGTGACCGCTCAATCATTGTGCTCTCAGAACATAGCGTGCGCTCAGAACATAGCCTCAAACTGGCATGGTCACATATGTGTGAAGGCTGGGAGTTAAATCCTGCTTTTCTTGCCATCCTTTTATGTGTTACGCAGTCAGCAATAGGTTAAACATTTGTCTTCTGCCCGCATTGAAAGATGTCCTTTATCTCTGTTATGGTAGCAATTCAAAATTTAGCTTTTGCCCCTAACTTTCACGTTTGATGACAATGCATTCAGGACAGTTGAAGACAGTGAATTTCCCACAGATAACCACAAAAACCTAACAGTTTTTCTAACCGCTTGGCACAAAATCTAAAAAGTAAATTTTTGCCTTTAGTTTTTGAATAGAAAGGAAGTTTGGGCAGCAATTTTCCCTCTGTCCTTGTTCTATGTCTGGTACTGATACTTAAAAATACTGTGTGATATAATTTAGATACTGAATGACATGCTTTTGTTTTTCCAGCATTGTATATCCAACTTGTTGTGTAGCACATACAGTGAACACGGGTTACAGCTGATGATCGATCTGCTCACTTTGAAGAACAGCTCTTACTGGCTTGTCAGGACAGAACTGCTAGAGACTTTGGCAGAGATTGATTTTAGGCAAGTTTGTCTCCTCGATACACTAAGATCTTCTCTATGAAAGAATTGTGATCAGCGTCAACTGTTATAGGGAAGGGAAAGGCAGGGAAAAGTCCGCTTTTAGTGTGTGTGTGTGTGTGTGTCGCTGTCCGTTTGTTTTCTAAACTACTAAATACTTTCTGCTGTCCCCTACAACAGACTAAAGCATGGTACACACTAGCCGTTTTTTTTTTTTTATTTTTTATTTGTTCAACCCAGCGGTCTGAGCGAAAAGAAAACTGCATAGCTCAGGAGGAGCCGCTGTACTAACAATCCAATGTTAGTACAGCGATCTTGCTCACTGAGCTATTGTGTTCTGAAAGGAAGACGCCCCTCCGCCAGAAAACACTGGCTGAGAGCGCTGATTGGATGCATATCAGCAGACCTTTTTCGGTCATGCCCCTCAACAGAAGCTGGCCACTGTACACTTGGGCCGAATGTCAGCTGCCTTTTATTGAACCAGTCGATGCCTCCTGACATTCGGCCCATGTGTACTAGGCTTAATTGTTCAGTAGTACAAGATAAAAACTGGAAGGGCTAATTATACTCGTTGAAGGAAAAGTGCACAGAAAACAGGATAGGTCTGAATTTCAAGTACATTTGCCAGGAGAGATATAGAGATATATCAGGAATGTCTGAAAAAGGCTGAATCATATCAGGAATTCAGAGAAATTCACTAGTCTTTATCTGATTACTTGTTCCAATTCAGAGGCAACTAACATGTTTAGAAGGAGAGGTTACCAATGGCAGCCTCTGTTTCTCTAAGAGTGTTTTCATTGCAGTCTGTAACCAACAATTATTTTCCAAAACAACACAAAAAAGTAACTTTTTTTGTAAGCATGCCAACACCATGGACATTCTGTACAATGTATTTTGATGCATAAAGTTCTCTGCTTATGTGGCTGGCTCACTACTTTTGCCAGATGTCTCTGATAAGATTGGGCTAAAATTTCAAGCATCCAGATGTTGCTGAACTTAATGTAGAGATTGGGATGACAAGTGGAATTTCTCGTTTGCACATTTAGTGTCAGCCCAGGATAGGTTAATTAATTTAAAATTTCTACACAGAATATACTATAAGCCTGCGAGACTGGTGTGTATTTATCTGCAGGTGTCTGTGGAGTGTTGGCACTTCTCGCAATCCCCGGCTACCTTCAGACATGTTTTGGTACTGTTCCTTAGCCCAGGACTTTTGGAAGGGTATTCTATGCTGCATTACCGGGGTTACCTTGCTGCCTTTGCCCATGACTGTGTCAGTTTGCTTTTTGGGCCTAGCGTGGGACCTGGCACATACTAGGGCTTAACATACCCTGCTCAGTCTCTTATTATTCTACACTTGAAAGGCACTGATTCTGACACCCTCATTAGCCTATTGGAAAGGGCTGGTGAACAAAATGGTCCCGTTTTATAAATCTAATTATAAGAGCAGGGGGTGTCCTACAAAATATGAGGACATCTAGCAGTCCTGGCTGGATAGTCCGTCCTCCACTGCCTAGGGGCATATACCCATTGCTCTATTTTACGGTTTCCATCCTTAGTTGGCTACTGTGTATGGTCATACACCTGTATGTACATGGTGAGCGCTTTCACAGCCTGAACAAAGTAGGTTGTTGTCAGAGCAATGTTTGGCCCTGCAAGGTCAGTTGTTTTTGTACATGTTGTTTTCTATAAGAAATCAATGAATAGAATTTTAAAAAGAAAAAATATTGAAGCATCCCAGCACTGTGTCCAGGTTGCTGCATTGAGACTTTCATTTGCTGTTATATTGGCCTTGTGCACTGTGCGTGTATAAAATGCTAAGTGGAAGGAAAAAGTAAAAAAAAAAAAACTTAAAAAACACTCCATACAGCCTATCTTCTGGTGCTTGTTTTTTGGATTCACCATGGGATGCAGGATCCCAAACCCTTATAAGAATGTTCTATTCTACAATGTAAGTATTGTGGCGTCTGGGGTGAGCTGCTCACAGAAGGTTTTTTTACCTTCATGCATAGAATGCATTAAGATAAAAAATCTTGAACCTTTACAACCACTTTAAGTCTTATGTTGTTACTAAAACCAGTACTATTTGAATGCAGAGGTGCTTATTTAACATGATAGAGAGTACATACGTTTTTATAGCCTGACCGATACAACTGACCCTTTGACAGCAACCAAAATGCTGATGTGGCCCACAATGAAATAAGGTTTGACACCCCTGCTCTAGAGTATTTATATAGATCAAGACTAGGGTATATTGAATGGACTCTTTTACAGGTTTTACTTGGTTTCTTTGAATTTTTTCTTCTCTTATTGTTTCTCTTTTTATTTTCTTTTAGGTTAGTCAATTTCTTGGAAGGTAAAGCAGATGGGCTACATAGAGGTTCACATCATTATACTGGGGTAATTATTTCCAGTGTATTCTTTTTTCTGCTTGAGAGCATTTATTCATCCATGACCATTATTAAGAAAATATATTTGAGACACGTGGACCTTTTAGGCACACAACCCCATTTTATGGAAACTTTTTATTACATTTTATTAGTGCATAAGCTTAAAAAATATCATAAAAGAAGGTTATTAGTGACGTATATAGCATTAAAACCGCATCGCTCACACTTGGGAAGGATACCCCCGTACAAGGTGCTGTTATATCAATATGCTTCAATAGGCGTACATGGTGGTTCCATTATCCCTTCATATCTTGGCTTGACATGGTTTTGCTCCCCGGGGTGCTGTTTTAATGCTCCTGATACTACCTGTTGGTCATCGAGGCCACTTATTACTTTAAAATCACCAGCATACGCAGCAGCTGTGTGGCAAACAAGGCATTTGCCTTGGTCAGCAATTTTCAGGGGGGAGAATCGGGAGGGGCAGGTTGGTGTTAGCGGTGGGTCAGTTGGTTGGTTTTGGCAGTCAGGGAGAGGGACTGGTCGGTTGGTTGGCTGCGGCAGTCAGTGGTGGCAGAGGGTGGGGGGGTTCTAAGTACACCACAACATGGAGAATCACAACATAGTCTTTGAGTTTTCTATTAAATATAAAAGATTAGTTTGTGTCTTATTAATGATTACCTGTTAAACGCTAAACCTAATATTGTCAATAGGCAGTACATTAAAACATTTACAGCTCATAAGTTTAACATTAAGTCAAAACAGCAATATTAAAGTTATCCTTCTGCTTCTGGCATGTAACAGGGTACCACATGTGTGATGACAACCCCCCCCCCCCCCCCCCATGTGACAATATATAAGTAGCGACATGCTCTTGATGAAAATGGGTGTCTTTGGTGAAGACATCGGAGAACAATTAATCCCCTAAAGTTTCCAGCCTTTTCAGATTCAGAACACAAGTCCCCCATTCAGCAGGTTGTCTGGCTGCTCCCCTAGGCTTCTGACTGCCCTGAACCCAGACGTGCTTAGTGTTGAGCACCTTCAGGTAAAGTGTAAACAGAAGGGGATTGGGGAACCAGTACCTCCCACTGATTATTCAGAAATGGCAGTATTTATGAATGCAACAAAAAACCCCTCTGCACGCTGGGACTGGAAAAAGGCAGGCAGAAGTGATTGTGAACTGCTGTACAAACAGCCAAATCACTTCTGGTGCACACAGAAAAGCTGGCTGATAATATCAATTGGCTTTTCTATACTTGGGGAAACCTGGGCTCTTGGCACCCACCTCTGCACTAGCCCCGCGCACCGCACTAGTGTAAAACAAAACAAAAAAAAACTACAGATGTTAAATGATTATGACTTGTCATAAAATCCATTTGGTCTTTGATTATATTTTTTGTGATGTGCTTGTTTGTAGCTGTTACATCTTCAGGATCGAGTGCTGAATGGTGTGCTTATCAGTCTTTTGGGAGATGAAGATGCTCGGGTGCGGCATGTAGCAGTAGCAACTTTAGCCAGGTAAGAGCTTTAGCCTTAGGTGACATTGTCCTCGTGTTATAGCATTCTGGTATCAATTCAGATGGCCATATATTGAACGATCTTTGACTCTTTTTTGCCATACATGCTTAGAGACAGTCCTGACCAATCATTACATTAGGAGTCCCTAGTGAATGTTGGGATTGTGTCAGATTAAGAGTAGTGGTAGTACATTGACCTCTTGCACATACAGAGGCAGCCATGCCATGTTCCCATTACTGGTTGTTTGTATCCTGGATGTGAACTTTAGCATCATACAAGGCAGAGCAGGTATAAGGCCCTATTCACGCTTAGTAATGATTCAATTTGTGATTAGATGTGCAAGACCCAGTAGGGGTTTCCTGTGATTAACTGCGGGTGGGATTCTGACAGCTCGTGTATCTATTACCTGTGAATGTTTGGCCCTGGATGCAGACAGCTTGCATGGCCTATCATTCACTGTTTATCTCTCCTTGAATGAATACATGTGAGTGGCCACAAAGAGCTGTGGGAACTGTCAGCCTCCTGTGGTTTTCAATGGGGCTTCCTGGCAGCATCTATGCGCAGGGAGCCCCTGCTTGGTCTCCTGCATCTAACAACAAATTTACAAATGTTAATGGGTCCTTCGGTTAATGCTTACCTTCACCACAGAAGCAGCATCTATTCTGTGCAATCACATGCTTTTGTCTCTCTAGTTACCAGCTCTTTGAAAAAAAAGAAAAATTCAACCAAGAACATTTTAAGTGGGTGCCTGGAACTACCAATAGCTTTGAGGACCATCATTTGGTCATCTTAAATGTTTGGCACCTTTATAATATTTTGCTGATGCTGTTGTTCTCATTTTCATCCACAGAATGGTTCCAAAGTTGTTTTTCCATTGTGACCAAGGACAAGCTGACCCTGTAGTAGCGGCAGCTAGAGACCAAAGCAGCGTCTACCTGAAACTGCTCATGCACGAGACCCAGCCAGCATCCCATTTTGCTGTCAGTACAATCACAAGGTGGGTGTATTTTTTATTTATTTTAGTACATTGGTAACTTATGTAGCATAAGAACAGTTGTCATTGAACTGAATTGAATTACATGAGATAAAATCTTGCTATTACTGAGCTGTTCACTGAACTTAAAAAAAAAAAAAAAATTAAGATTTTCTGTTAGAGAACACCTAGAATTGTTAACTGTACCAAAGCTGTACTCTGAGGAATCCACCTTTTTGTCTGAAAAAGCTTCCAAAGTTCTGTTCCTTTTAAATAGTCTTAAAACACAAGCTTTGTAATAGCTATAGGCAAAACTTTATTTTTTTTTTTTCCATTTTGGATAGAGTAAGAAAGTTATAACCCCTGTCAGTTTATTTTTTGCCATCTATGTCCCATTGGGGAGATTTACCCTCACTTCCTGTCCTATAGCCAAAACCGGAAGTGTATCAAAATCCCTGAAAATTAAGGAAATTCTCACCAGAACTAGTGTCCTCATTGGAAAATTTCCTTTCTATTACCTTTCTGGGGACAACCAAAAATTTTTGAGTTTTCTTTTACTTTCAGTTTCGATAATAATGGTAGTCAGGACAAATAGACGGGGGTGAATCCCCCTGAAAGGGGCACAGACAGCAATAAGAAACAATTATGTAAAGTCCCGGGGGACGGGGCAGAAGATACTGGCACTGGAGCCTTTACAAGCGGGATTGCAGCTCAGCACAGTGTTGATGACAGATTCTCTGATACATGGCGGTGATCAGCTATGGATGTTAGGTAGACATCATGGATTTGTGAGTACCTGTTGCTGAGGCTCTAAGATCACTGGTCATGTCAACTGTGCTTACATGATTGATGAGGGACTTATACCGTGCACAGGCTGGACCAGGCTCTTTGCTGAGAACCCTTTACTGGCAACATGTCTTGACACCTCTTGTCATCCATCCCACCAACAGTTATGCATAGGTTGTGCACAGACATCCACTGTGAAATTTTGACCATCAACTGTGACAGATAGCCACATAGACTGTTCTGGGCTGGATACCTGTCAATGTTCACCAACTTAGCAGGCTTTACTTCTCATCAAGCGCTACCATCCATCCAGCCATCCACTGCACAGTGTATACTGTTACCCAGCAGTTCCCAGCATATGGCACACTTGCGTTCACTTTACGCTCAAGCATCGCTACCTGTGTGTCTTGAATACAGCTACATTATTTATGCATGGACTCTGGGAAAGTAGAGCTGAGATAGGGTCTGCTTAGCATTTCTGGTCTTTGGCTCCGTAGGTGCCTAGGGGTGGATACTCATTACCCATTGTGGTCTGTGCAATCGATTGGGTGCCTGGTGGACCTACCCTTGATCCATCATCAGGTGGGACTTGGGAGCGGTGTGGAAAGTGGGGGGGTTTAGACAGGGCCTTTGTGTAGGGTGAAGAGGGATGTCCCATCTCCCACTTAGGGGCAGTCTATTCGGGGGGGTTGGAGGTATCTCTTGGGTAGTTGGGGAGCGGTTGAGTGTGTGTGTGTGTTTAGGGAGGGGGGGGATTTGCGAATGCTTATGGTTTTTAATGTTAACATAATAAACTTACTTTTTTTAGTGGTAGCTATTTATTTGGGTGTTTGTCATCCTGTTCTTTCCTCTTTTTGTTCATTCAATAAAAACCTTACAGTTGTTCTAATCCTTCTCCACTCTGTCCAAAACTTTTTTTTAAAGTTTTGCCTTTAGTTATACTTTAAACATAACTTGTTATACTTACTACAGTAGGCCATTCAGACATAGAGTTTCAGCAGTTTGTGATTGTGTGTGCCTTTCACCCTTGTGTAAATCAAATATCAAAGATATACATAATAAAAGACGACCAGCATAGCCTGACTTTATTACAGTGGATGCAGCAAGAAAGGTTACATGAAGAACCCAACCATAATTCCAGTTTGAAGGTGCCTTTGGCCCCTGTAACAATTTCTAGTTGCTGGATTTCATGATTGAAATCGCCTGTGTGGGACTGTTCCTTCAGAGGTATATGATTACTCTTCTAGAATGCAATTAGCACAGTGTCCAATGCATCATCTTGAAGCAAAGCACTAAAGCATCTAAACTCATTTAGCTACTTAAATGATACTACAGAAAAACATGTTTTAGCTTTTTCTAGAAGAAAAACCAGTAAGTCTTGCAAAATTTTGCTTTTCTTTTTAAGGTTTAAGCACGTAATGTCTGGACACTTTTACCCCCTTCCAGTCCAGGTCAATTTTCGGCTTTCAGCGCTCTCACACTGTGAATGACATTTACTCACGTATACGACATTGTATCCAAATGAAATGTTTATCATTTTTATTCACACAAATAGAGCTTTCATTTGGTGGTATTTAATCACCACTGGGTTTTTTATTTTTTGCTAGATGAAAAAAGATTTTCAAAATTTTGAAAAAAAAACAATGTTTTCTTAGGTTTTTGAAATAAAATTTTGCAAATAAAAATAGATTCTTTATAAATTTAGGCCAAAGTGTATTGTGCTACTTTTTTTGGTAGAAATAACCCAAATCAGTGTATATTATTTAGCCTGTGTGAAAGTTGTGGAGTCCACAAACCATCGTATACATATTTGAAAATTGATCAACCCTGATGTACTGACTACCTATGTAATTTCTTGGGGCCCTAAAATGCCAGGATAGTACAACACCCCCCCCCCCCCCCCCATGACCCCTTTTTAGAAAGTAGTCTGAGGTATTTAATGAAAGACATGGGGAGTTTTTTGAAGTTGTCTTTTTTTTTTTTTTTTTTTTTTTTTTTTTTGCCAATTGTTTTGGGAAATGATGAAAGTAAATAATTTTATTTCCCCAAAAAGTTGTCATTTTAACAAGTTGTTTCTCTCACACGGTATAGGCATATTGCAATTACATCTCAAAACACATTCTGCTACTCCTCTTGAGTATGGCGATACCACATGGGTGGATCTTTTCCACAGCCTGGCCACATAGAGGGGCCCCATATCCAATAAGCACTCTTAGGCATTCTAGGGGCAAAATTACACATCTAATTTCTTGACTGCCTATCACAGTTTTGGAGGTCCTGGAGCACCAGGACAATGGATTTATCCACAAAATGAACCCATTTTGGAAAGCAAACACCCCAATGTATGTTTTTAGTGGTATGGGGAGTCTTCTGAACTTTTCATTTTGTGCCACAAGTTTTTGGAAAATGTGAAATGAAAATGTATTTTTTTACACAAAGTTGTCAATCTAAGAGATGTTTTTAATACACAGCAGAGGCATACTTAGAATTACACCTCAAAACGCATTCTGTAACTCCTCCCGAGTATGTTGATACTACATGTGAGACTTTATCACAGCCTAGTGACATAGGGGGGTCCCGCATCCAATAAGCAAACACCTTTTGGCTTTCTAGGGGCAAAAATTACATATCTAATTTCTTGACTGCCTATCACAGTTTTGGAGGTCCTGGAGCACCAGGACAGTGGCAACACCCACAAAATGACCCCATTTTAGAGAGCAAACGCCCCAAGGTAAGTTTTAAGAGGTATGGGTAGTCTTCTGAAGACTTCATTTTTTGCCACAAGTTTTTGGAAAATGAAAACGTTGTCAATCTGTGAGAGATTTCTAATAGGCATACCTAAAATTACACCCCAAAACACATTCTCTAACTTTCTGAGTATGGCGATACCACAGGTGTGAGAATTTTTCACAGCCAGGCCACATAGAGGGTCCACATATCCAATAAGTACCTTTAGGTGTACTAAGGCAAAAATTACACATCTAATTTCTTGACTACCTATCACAATTTTGGAGGTCCTAGAGCACCAGGACATTGGAAGCACACCCACAAAATGACACCATTTTGGAAAGCAAACACCGCAAGGTATTTTTCGAAAGGCATGAGGAGTCTTCTTAAGACTTCATTTTTTACACAATTTTTTAGAAAATGTGGAAAAAAAAAGATTTTTTTTTTTTTAACGCGATGTTGCCAATAATAAGATATTTCTAACACACTGTATAGGCATTCTTAGAATAACACATCAAAACAAATTCTGCTACTCTTCCTGAGTATGGGGATACCACATATGTAAGACCTTTTCAGCAGACTGATTACCGGGCATGGCAACCTGTGTATCACAAAAATCAGCAAACATTATGTATCAAAGTGTAGTGTAGCTTCACCTATAGCAGTCCCTGTTCCTAAAAGCTTAACCTACTGGTACATGGCTTCCCAGGAAGTTGAACAAAAGATAAACCAAAGAGTACCTGTGGTTTCAGTAGTGCAGTTGGCCACAGAGGATGGGTGGCATCAGTGTTTCGCAGGAAGGTAGCAGTGGGATGTGCAGATGGGTCAGTACCGATGCCATGTATAGACCTGGTGAGCAACCAGGCAAAGCAGTGGTCCAGGCAGAAGGCAGGAACATGGTCCATAAAAAGGCCATAGTCAGTACAGACAGCTGGCAGAGACGTGGTCAAAGGATTGGTCCAGGCAGAAGAATTAATCTTAGGGCCTTGGTTAGGTAAGACTAGACAATAGGGTAGAGGCTTTTTTCCTCCCAAATCTCTTGGAAGCCTCCAGTCTCCAGACCCTGATCCGGGAATTACAAAACCCAAAGAAAACAAAAAATGTAGTTTTCTCCACTCGGAAACACTACTTTGGATCCCCTGCATACATGAGACCCCTGTATTGTCTTGAATCCCACTACTAAACTGGGAGGGCAAACGATCAGTCCAGGAGGCAGGCAAAAAACATGGTCGATTAACAGGCTTAGGTCTGTTCAGGCGGCAGGCAGAGGCATGGTCGATTTAACAGGCTGAGGTCAGTTCAGATGGCAGGCAGGCAAATGAATCCAGGCAACAGGCAGAAACTTGGCAGGGAAATGGCAGATAGAGGACAAACAGAAATGTCTTCACCATACTTCAAAAGTTCCCTCTCCTGTTATGGAGATGAGGAGAGGCGGAGGAAATCTGTAGTCCCAACATATTTCCTGTACTAGGGTGTCAACGCTGCCCCTCTAGAGATAAAGTACATCAAGTGAGCATTGTCACCTTAGAAAAGGAAGTTTAATGTTAGGATCGAGGAAAGAAAACGTGAAAAAAAGCTAATTACTGCAGTCATCACATCTAAGGTCTGGTAAAAGCAGTATATTACAATTTCGTTCTTCAGTTTAGATCTCCTTTAATCCAACAGTCTGTTAAAACTTTATTTAATGCTTGGTCATTTATTCTCATACAGGATCTACAGAGGGTACAGTATTTTGCCGAGCCCCACGGATGTCACCATGGAGAATAATCTGTCGAAGGTCATCACTGCAGTTTCACACGCGCTGACAACATCAACCACTCGAGCATTGACGGTAACCGAATTATGTATCAGTGCCATGTATAATGGCTATATAAACATTTCACATAGTATATGTGAAGTGTGTGTGGTGACTATGGAGCCTCACTATTAGACTATGTAGTTGGTTATAGGTCACCTTGTGTGACAATGCCAGCAATCAAATTAGATGCTTCTTCGTTAAATACAACAAATAAGATGTGCTGTCCTCATGGACACAATTCTTATTTATCGCTTCCCATAATTTCCAGTTACACTAGGTCTTGCATAAACCTGGGCTCTTGGTAGGTTAATTTCATAGCTGAAATACATATAAATGTATGTAGCGTTTCTTGCCTGTTTGTAATTCCGGGCAGCCAAACTTGCATCTCAGACCCCCTTACTAGATTGTGCAAGCAGGTCTGCACCCTCCATTTTCTCCACTGAAAACAAGTAAGAACGCTCTGTTACTGACCTACTCCCAGCCTGCTGATTGGGTGACAAAGGAGCAGATGTCATCACTGTATCTTTTTCTGTCAACAAGCTCCTAGCGTTAAGCTGGCCATATACTGACTATATTCTGCAGTTTTAACAGGAACTGGCCAAATTTCGATCAGCACATGGCTGGCCCTACTCGATAGAAATTGATAGTTTGATCTGCTACTGTGAAAGAGACCTGCTGGAAAACTTTGAGCTATGTCTGCAGTCAGTTTGACTGTAGCTGCTGATCAGTGTATTCTGACAGTAGCAGGTGCCCCTGACAGAATACAACATTCCAGAGGGGGTGGAACACCTCCATCCACCTCAATGTGAATAGAAGGATTCATTTTTTTTTGTTAATCCAACCCTAGATGACAAAAAAACAAAACAAAAGACATTTAAGTTATGGCCAGCTTTGGATTAGAAAGCACTGCACAGTGCTTTATACTGCAGTGGGTCACAGTATTTCCCTTTCCTCTCCAAGTGTGAGTACTTTTGTCTGTGGTGCAAGAAGCTAATTTATAGATTGTACTTGTGCACTTGCAGAGTGTACTGATGTACTAGAGCAGGGGTATACAACCATTCTAAACAAAGGGCCATTTTATTGTCCATTAGACTTAAGGGGGGCTGGATTGTGGCCAGTGGGAGTAGACATTGTCCCAGGCTTGGTGGCCAGTTGGAGTAAAATAATTAGGCTACTTTCACATTGCTCCCTGGCAAAAACATGGTAAAAATGCCTATGTGTGTTTGCAGCATATTGCCACGTTTCTGGTGCATTTTGCATCTGTGCAAAAAAAAAGTGACTCAAAAAATGCACCAAAAATGCAACCACAGGTGCATATTGAGAGTAGCAGTACTGACTATGCTGTGTCACAATAGTAAGCACCTGCTGCTAATTTGGAACTAAACATTACTCTGGGCCATACACATCACAGTCTGAGTGTACCAACAAGTACATAGTGTGTGAACATACTTGATTGTATGAAGTGGATCATTTTAGACTCTTGCACTATATAGTATCTCATAAATCTACAGTGAGATTGTACAACTGGATAGTAACTTGTTTAAACAGCTTTAGAATAAGTAGTGCAGCATATTGTAGTTTGGTTGAAGGGTAAAATACTAATTATTATAGTATATAATATAGAATTATAGCACAGGAGAAAGAAAAATTAAGGCCTATTAGTATCACCGGTAACTTCTGCAATCTTCTTTTAGTGTCTTAGTGACCACAACCCCTGTAATGGTATTCACATTCACCCTATATAAATCTGCTTTCTTAACATACAATTCCTCCCTCCATGCTGTCAAACAAGCCCGTGCCCCCTCCCCTGACTTCTCCATCAAGATCAATAACACAATCATCAGTCCCTCCTCTCATGCCAGAGTACTAGGTGTAATGCTGGACTCCCATCTGTCCTTTCAGCCCCAAAGCCAATCATTGTCCAAATCTTGTAGACTTCACCTCCGCAACATCTCCAAGATACGCCCGTTCTTGACTTCTGAACCATTAAGAAACACATTCACTCCCTTGTTATCTCTCTCTTTGACTATTGTAACTCCCTCCTCATTGACCTACCTAATCGCAGGCTATCCCCTCTTCAGTCTATCATGAATGCTGCTGCCAGACTCATCCACCTTACTAACCGTTCCATATCTGCCACCCCTCTTTGCCAAACCCCTCCTCTAGCTTCCCATTGCCCAATGAATACAGTTCAAAACATTAAGAATAACATATGAAGCCATTTATAACTCTGCCCCAAATTACATCACCAATCTTGTGTCCAAATATCTCCCAAACCGTCCTCTCCGGTCCTCCCACTACCTCCAGCTCTCTAGCTCCCTTGTCTCCTCCTCCTTCCATGCTTGTCTCCAGGACTTCTCCAGAGCCTCTCCCATCCTCTCTACCCCAATTTATCCAACTATCGCCTACTATGCCCACTTTTAGGCGATCTCTGAAAACCTATCTCTTCAGGGAAGCCTATCCCGCCATCAGCTAATAACAGTATCTTCTCTTCCTCCTACCAGTCCATCCCCCACAGTTATTACCTTTTGTACCACCAGCCCCTTGCTCTTAGATTGCAGGGCCCTCCTATCCCTCTTGTATTGAACTGTATTGTTGCTGTATTGTCTCCGTTTATATTGTAAAACGCTGAGCAAAATGTTGGCGCTCTATAAATCCTGTATAATAATAACAATCTTATATGAAGTATCAATGCAGCTGTTATTCATTATTGCTTCACTTTAGTGGCTGAATATCTTATTTGTATTACATAGGTTACATATTTTCTTTGTGTTTTTTCTTCAGTTTGGTTGCTGTGAAGCTTTGTGCCTGTTATCCACTGCTTATCCAGTGTGCACATGGAGTGTTGGGTGGCATTGTGGGTATGTGACATCATCTAGTGCACAGGCTTCCCGGATCCAAGTTTACAAGAATCGGGGTCGATCTTTTAGGTAAATTAACTAAACTGGGATTTCCTTTTCAATAGTGACTAAATAGAGAGCATCTTATTGCCACTGTTGTTGTGAAGTCCATTGTATAAACTTGAGCTTTAAATGTCTTGTTCCCAGCATTTCCCAGCAGAGCCCCTCCGAGGAGCCACGTAAGATCTGCACTGCCGGCATGTCCAACATGATACTGTCACTGCTGTCCTCAGCTTGGTTTCCCCTTGATCTTTCTGCTCATCAGGATGCCTTGATACTGGCTGGAAATTTGTTGGCAGGTGAGTACAAAAGCTAGGACTCTGTGAGAAGAAATTGAAGTTCCCTTTAAGTGGACCCTTAACTAATATGAAAATGTGATATTTGCTTTACAAAACACTATGTGCGTAAGCACTGTACAAGAATAGCTATACCTGTTACCAACAATGTTCTCCATTACGAAGCACACTTTGCAAACCTTGTTGGTACCTTTGCCTACAGAATGGCCATGTCTATATCAGTAATGTTCTTTGCACGCTGGCCTGAAGGGGTTGACTTGAGTGGCTTTAGGCCTCATACGCTCTGGATGTTTTAACTTGGTTATTAGGGGCTCCTGGCATTTTCTTTTTCAGTTAAATGCCGCTGCATGTTAGCCTATGTGTCCATGCAGACATAGGCGTTTAGAGGGATTTAGAGGCACGGGTGTTTTGAGGGAGAAAAAAAACCTACTGCCAGTATGTCCAGGAGCTTGAGGCATGTTAACATGTCTAAATGTGTGTTACCACTAGGCATGTTTAGCACTTGATTGTTCTTTCAATTCAATAGCCAGAATACATTTTTATTCTGGCCAATTAAATTAACACTTAAGCACCTAACTTGCCTAAATGCATTACATGCGTTTACAAGTGTCGAGTTGTTCTGCCAAAACATGGCTGCCAGGAGGAAAGGCATCTAGGAGAGATAGCAAAGCATCCAGTGTGTAGGAGGTCTTCTACTGTCATTGCTGTAAGCATATGCATATTTGGGTTGACCTTCCTGGTCTGCTTTCAAGTGAACATTTTGAGCATTTTAGACAAAGGAAAAAGTGTTAGTTTGAGCCAGCCAGTAAAAGTAATATTACCACTCCCAGTGCCAAGCTTCCCTATGTTGTGGAGCTACATCACTTGCTGGAATCATCAGTATCCAACACTTTTTCAAGTGTGCCAGATTCCTGTGTGTCCCAATGAATGCTGCTGTTCTTCCTACTGATCACTACATCACATTTTTGGCTCAAAGCATGGCAGTTTTTTACAAACATAATCAAGTGTGCAGCACCTACCCAATTTGGCATTACATTATTAAGAAACAAAACAAGCACTAAAAAAAAGGTTACATATTAATGGTAAAAAGAATAAAAAAATAATAGCTAAAGTTTCGAAAACTTAATTAGGTCAAGTGGGCTAATTTTTTTTTTTTCATTTGCATGGTTGCTTCTTTAACACCCCGGTCACACTGGATGTGAATTGGCATGCGATTTGCATGCCATGCAACTTGTAAATTGCATGCCAAATCGCATCCTATTGTCAGCAATTAACAGTCATATCGGCACCGATTTCTAAAGTAGTACATTCACTACTCTTGGTGCGATTTGCATAGACATCTGTATCAGATGCAAATCACACCTGAAATTGGCATCAAATAGGGTTTGATGTGACCGGGGTGTAACTGACAGTTTGTGCAGAGGAAGTAAGTCCTTTGATGTTAATATAAAAGTGCTAATGTAAATACAATGTGCCAAGAGTGTTTCTATACACTGTCTGTTCTCTAAACAAAAATCATAAAAATAAACACGTAATAAACAAAATGTAAATACAATGGAAACCTAGAATTTTCAAACGTTCCCTTTCACCCTGGCATATAACCTGCTTTTATATTCTACATGTCACAATTGAGTAGGGGAGAATAAGTGAGACAGGTTTGGGGACTAGTATTCCTACAATGATGCAGTCAAGGGTTTTTAACACTTTTTTTTTTTTTTTGGCTTTATTAATCACTTGCCTACCTGGCACTTATACCCCCTTCTTTACCAGGCCAATTTTCAGCATTCATCGCTCTCGCACTTTGACAATTGCGCGGTTATGCAAGATTGTACCCATATGAAATTTTTATTTATTTTTTCTCATAAATAGAGCTTTCTTTTGGTGGTATTTACTCGCCGCTGGGTGTTTTACTTTTTGCGCTATAAACAAAAAAATTGCATCAATAGTTGAAAAAAAAGTTTCTTTGTTTCTATTATAAAATTTTGCAAACAGGTAATTTTTCTCCTTCACTTATGTGCGTTGATGAGGCAGCACTGATGGGCACTGATAGGCAGCACTGATGGGCACTGATAGGCAGCACTGATGGGCACTGATAGGCAGCACTGATGGGCACTGATAGGCAGCACTGAAGGGCACTGATAGGCAGCATTGAAGGGCATTGATAGGCGGCACTAATGAGGTGGCACGGATAGGTGGCACTGACTGGCATCACTGCTAGGTTTTGACTGGCGACACTTAGCCATTGACTGTCGCAACTGCTGGGCACTGACTGGCAGCACTGCTGGTCTGCACTGCACTGATGGCACTGGTGGGTGGCACTTCTGGGTGGTACTGGTGGGCACAGGTGGGTGGCACTGGTGGGCACAGGTGGGTGGCACTTCTGGGTGGCACTGGTGGGCACAGGTGTGTCGCACTGCTGGGCACAGGTGGTTGCACTGCTGGGCACAAGTGGGCAGAACTGGTGGGTGGCACTGCTGGGCACTGATCATCAGGGCACTGATGATCAGTGCCATCCTTGCTCTAACAACTGCAGGTTTTCGGCAGTACTTTCTTCACGATCTGACAGCGTGAGGAAAGTGCAGCCGAGAATCGGCAATTGCATTTCCCTGTGATCAGTGTGTCATTGGACACGGCTGATCACGTGGTAAAAGGCTGCTGTGATTTGCCTTTTACCAAATCACGTGATCAGCTGTGTCCGTAGGACACAGCGATCACGGAGATCGCCGGGTGCACGCCCCCGGGGGCGCGCAGGAGAGCGCGTTCTGGGAGGACGTCATATGACGCCCTCACAGAACTGGCCAGCCGCAGTGCAGCCGTCAACTAAAGTAGAACTGTAGACAAAACTTTTTTGTACCCTTTTGGATAGAGCAAGGGAGGGTTATAACCGCTGTCAGATTATTTTAATTCTCCGTCTGTGTTTCATTTCAGAGGTTTATCTTCACTTTCTGTCCCATAGCCAAACAGGAAGTAAAAGGAAATCGCTGCAAATAAGTTAATTCCTTGGGGATCTCCAGGTCACTAGAACTAGTGTTCCTTTGGAAGATTTCCCCTCTGGTACGTTTTTGGAGACAGCCCAAAATTTAGCATTTTGTATACTTTCATCTTCAGTGGTTATGGTAAACAGGACAAACAGAGAATTTGAATCTCCTTAATGGGGGCACAGGCAGCATTAAAAACTGACTGGGGTTCTAATCCCGCTTCACTCTATCCATTTCTTAAAAAACAACTTTGCCTTTAGTTATACTTTAAACTCAAGATTACTTATTTATACATCAAATGTTTTTTTTTTTTTTTTTTCAATATTTGCTCATTCTGAAGCAAAAATTATTTTTGCATTTCAGCTACTGCACCTAAATCTTTAAAGAGCCCCTGGACAGCAGAAGATGAAGCTAACCAGACAGCTAACAAGCAAGAGGAGCCATGGCCAGCACTTGGTGATCGCTCGATGGTTGGCATGGTGGATCAACTGTTTGTTCATTTACTGAAAGCGATCAACATATGTGCTCATGTGATTGATGATGTTCCTCCAGGTCCTGTAGTGAAGGTAAGATTCAGGATGTCAATATACAATATACGTTCCTGTATTATATTTTCGGATGTGCACTCAATGTGTGCATTACAAATCCTCCTTCGCCAGAGGAACATTACTGTATTTCTTTTCAGGACTGGGATCAGGATTGCACTGTATTTTTTTTGGGGGGGGGGGGGGGGGGGGGGGATTGTGGCAGATAGACCATTATATATTACACTATGGCTTTTCGGTGGCGTATGTGTGTATATATATGTGTGTGTATATATATATATATATATATATATATATATATATATATATATATATATATATATATATATAAAAATTCCTTCTTGATCCTACGTATTATGATGTTCTACACTACAACCACTGTAGACCAAATGAAATGAGACAAAATTGCTCAACCTATATTAGGAGGGATTTCTGGATTAGACTAGCTTTTCTTATCACCATGAGAACTGCTGTTTCCCACCTCCTTCTGACACATTTGCTAAAACCCAATTGAAGCTTCTGTGTTTTATCACTCTAATGCAGTTAGGCTGCATATACATTAAAAGTATACTTTTTTTTTTTTTTTTTTTCCTTTATGCTGCAAAGAGGATTTACAAAACCCAGGCTGATAACATTCCAGAGAGCTGGGCTGCCACTCTTATACACAGCAACAAAGAAAAATTCCCAGCTCAATTTACCAGCCAGCTTGCAAGCTGGCTGGTAAATTAAGCTGGGAATTTATCTTTGTTGTTGTTTGACATGCATCACCCTTCCATGTGCTCCTTGCTGTGAAGGCCAGTTATAGGTTGGGGCACTTGCCATTTGGTTGTACTTCTATACACAACACAGAGGCCCAGGTCTCTTGTGGTCCATCAGACCCCCTGCACTGTGCTCCAGTAACAATGTTAACATTTTGTTAGTGGCACTGTTGATTAGACCACTGTGCAAGCAGCATTTCAAACTGCTGGCCAGCTGGGCCACTGCATTGTGGTCCAGCTCCTCAGCTGTGTTGCTAGCACAGGATGTTTTAAACCTTCTTGCTGCAAATGGTAAATTAAAAAAAAAAAAATATATATATATTACTGTATATGCAGCCTGGATGCATTACAGCAATAAATACAGAAGCTTCACATTGACTTTAACAAAGGTGTCGGAAGGAGAGGGAGACGCTTGTACAGATAAGAAATTTCATACATTTCAGAATTAAAGTGACCATAAACTCCAGAAATCCATTCAAGTGTGTGTTAACTTTTTGCTAATTCAACTTCCTATTAGCCGGTGGCTGCTGCATTCATTCTACAAGGTCCCCACTGTAAGTAGGAATGTAGCCACCATCTCTTGCGTGCTCCCGAGATAGACTCCTGGTTGTAGTAGTAGTGCAGTGCACTGCTTGTTCTAAACAGACAGAAGTGAGGGGAAAAGAAAATGACTTTACGAGGCAAAAAAATGAAAAATAGATTACAGGAACATTTAAAGCAGTATTAAACCCAAAAGCAAATGTTTAGTATATTGCTGTTTACCAATTCTTGGATATGGCGGGTTCATTAGTTTTCTTTTTTAGGCTTTCTTTTGTTTTCACCTGGTAATCTGGCCAGTAAGACTGTTGCTTTTCTACAGAACAAGCTATCTTGTAGCAGTAAGATGGTCGACACAAACCATTTACCACTGACGGGTGTTTACAATGATCAGATACAATTTATGACTTTTATCCCAAAAGGAGCAAAACTGTTTAAAGTGTTAGATACAGCAGCAGTTTAAATGCACATAAATTGAAGCTGAACTCCAGCTGACACTCACCTTCCTCCAGATTAACAATGCTGCAGCCTAAAGGTGCCTCTGTGCTCCTTCAGCCAGAGTGGAGGCACTCTAATACAGGAGGTGTGTTACTGGCCAGATCACCAGGTGAAAACAAAGGGAAAAAGAAAACAAATGCAGCCACCAAATATAAGGATTGGTAAGCTGCCATATAGTATTGGTTTTAGGTTTAATACCGTGTAAGTAGTGGATGTGTATGGGTTATTTCTGGGGAATAAGGAGATCATTAAAATGTCACTTTAATGACTTTTAGTATCTCTTGGAAGAAATGGCTACTCATTCATTTTAGATATTATGATGCACCATGAGATGAGGGTTTCATTTCTATATAACAGTGTTTTATCCAAGCACCACTGTAATCCAACCAAAGGTCCTCCCCTTATTAAGTGTATATAATCTTAGAAAGGGATAACCACTCAGTGTAAGTCTTCACAAGCAGTTAGGAATATTTTTTTTTTATTATTCTGTAAATAAAGAATGAGATTAGCTGGGCACACTATTAGAGACTGGAGTACTGTAGTCAGACCAGTTCATTAAAAAAAGTCACTGGGAGGGAATGGTTCATATTTTGAGATGCCCTCAAACCTTACAGCCATAGAGGCACAATAATCATATGGTGATTGCATGCATGGTATGCATGTTCAAGTATTCTATATTTTTCAAGTTTTTATGGGTTTTTGTTTTTTCACTTTTAGACCACTCTTCCATCCCTAACTAACCCCCCTTCTTTAAGTCCTATCCGGAGGAAAGGGAAGGAGAGAGAGAGTGCTGAGCAGACAGCAGTGCCGCTGAGCCCAAAGAAAGTCAGTGACACCACTCCAGGTAAGCAGCTTGGGCATTACTTTTATCTTGTAGTAGAGGACAGGAAATAATAGTGCTCAGTAGCTGTGGAATAGAAACTGGAAAAACAAAGTTTACATCTTAAAAAAAAAAAAAAAAAATCTTCAGTATTTAGCCCAGTAATATAAATGATGAAACTAGGTCTCAGTGGTACACTCTGGTGTATAAATTATCTGAATGAAATATATTGTAAAATATAAATGAAATGTATTGTTTTGTACCATTTTTATTTTGCTTTTTTTTTTTTTAAAGCTACGCGGCAGACAGATGCCTCTGGTCCAGCTCAAACAAGCAAATCTCTTGGCAGTTTCTACCATCTCCCATCATATTTAAAGTTGTATGATGTTCTGAAAGCCACATATGCTAATTATAAGGTATGTTAGAGCCAAAATATCTTCTCACCTTGCTAACAGGTCTTGAGCATTTCAAGTTTTAAAGTGTAACTTGACATTCCTAAAATAGTAGCTTAGGCTTCACTCTATCCAGGAGTATATGTAAAAAAAAAGAATACATATGAAAAACTTTCACTTTTTTTGTCCATTTTATTTATGTATTTTATTTTTCATTCTTTTCCTAGGTAACACTGGATCTTCAGAATAACAATGAAAAGTTTGGGGGTTTCCTACGCTCTGCTCTGGATGTTCTCTCTCAGGTTTTGGAACTAGCTACTCTAACTGATATTGGCAAGGTAAGAGTTTATATTATGCCGACTCTGAAGTTGTACAATGGTGTCTGTTAGATGATAGACTTTCTAGTGAACTCAAACTTTAATTTTATTTCTTTTCTTTAACCACTTCCCCCCGGGTAGACGTCCTTATAACGTCCTTGACTTTCAGTTATTGTACCGGGATGATGCCTGAAGCTACAAGCATCATCCTGGTATTGTGTTTTTCTGACAGCGGTTCCCTTTCAAAGATATTGTGATCATGATGTGTATATTTAATTCCAACTCTTGTCCAATCCTTTATATATTTTAATTTAGCAAAATCTGATAATTTAGGGTTATACAGATTTAATTTTTTTTTTTTAAACACAGGACATCTATAGGTATTTGCAAATCACATCTATTGGATTTTCCTTATGTTTAATAGTGTCTATTGTGTTTGCATTTTTCTGTTCTTCTTTCTCATTGCATGTCCATACTCTTTGTGGTGTACCGTGTGATCTTGGTAGTCCCTTAGAGGTCCTATTAACAGAGGCTATTCATTTTTTTTTCTTTTCTGAAATTCCTCACAAAAATTTCAAGCAAAAGAACTGTGCTCACTGAAATACAAATTGGTTTTCTGTTAATTCGATTTAAAAATTTAGACAGAATGTATGTATGTCCATTGGGAGACACGGAGTTGTATACTGGTGGATTATGCTGTTGCCTCTACAGAAGAATTAGACACTGTCAAACAAAAATTCTATAGGCCAGCCCAGGATAAACCCCTCCTATACCCAGGATGCCTTATATTCTTTTGCTAGTGTCCTAGGTGGATGGACAGTTTTTTTCTTCCTTTTTTTTTTCAATATTCTGCTACTTTTCAGAGCCTGTTCTTTTAGAAACTTTGCTGTGAAGCACTTTTTAGGTCCAAGGATGTTGTCATTTCCTCAGTGCTTGACCTATCTCTGTAGACTTAAGGTGCTGAACAGGGTGATTGGACTGAGCACTGGGAGCTACCTTGTTTGCACCGACTTAGTTCCATTTACATTTCCCGCTATCACCAGATTTACTGGGGCGGGGGGGGGGGGGGGGGGTGGCGGGGATTGGGGTTTGCTGCGGGATTGAGAGCTGATGCCATCTGCCGGGTTAAGTGTCGTGAAGTGTTGGCCATGCTCTGTGCTGCTATTCAGCGTAGAAGAAGCAGCACCTCTCTGCTGCTTCTGCTTTTGCAAACAGATTCATTAACATCCATTCCTATGGCCCATCTACAGTGACCTTGCTCACCTTCCTCTTTTGACCCTTACAAGCCCTCACCTTGTACCCTGAGCTTAGCTCAATATCCACAATGCCATCCCAACATGTCTGTATCTAGACCCTGAGTGTACAGTCCCACTGCAGTGGGTGACCCCTGCTCACAATCTCCTAGCGGTACCAGGGACATTTATTCTGTATCTATCAAAGGCACGAACATCTGGAACCCTGCCACCCTATGATTATAGGGTCTACTTCATCAGAGTCTTTGTTAACTCCGTCAGGTGAAACAGAGTCCTTTGCCTTCTCATCGGGCACCTCTGCTATAGTCACAGTAGACTTTTATGGCCAGTTTCACTTAATTCATCATGGATATCGAGTGCAGAGGCTCCATGCATGCTCCCATACCTTTCCCCTCAGAATCAATCTCTTTGCTGCTTTAGAAGAGACCACCAGTTGCAGTCATAATCTTTGACTCAAATTCGGAGTCCCCTCAGTCTCTTTTTAATGAGATTTTTTTGAAGAGCTTCACTCCTCGTCTTTACCTCAGGCATACAAGAGACCATTTCACTATGTCCTAATCTCAATCTGGAAGAATGACCTGCTGTGTCCAGCCTTGGGTCTTTCAGAGCACTGTTGTCACAAAGACCTTTTCTTTACACCTGCTTTTCAAGATATTTTTCTGTGTGGACTGGAAGCACCCTGAAGGGTTCTTGACCCCACTTGAGTGGGTACTGGAACATTTCCCCTTTGGAATTTGTTAAATGGTGGTCTATACCCACTTGTTAACAAAAGCCTACAGGCCAGTAGAGGGTGCCCTTACCTTCACCGTGTTTGGCTATGAACAGAATATGTCAAACTATAGCAAAATGGGTTAAATCTCAAAAGCGATCTTTTCACTGCTGCGGTAGGCCATTTGATAAAAAGTTTGGAGCAGACGTCTGACTCCTCAGGCTTCAGTTGTGATGGCTTCATACTGGGTCATACTTCATTGAGTTTTGACATTAACCGGCATGGTCCTTTGGAGAACAAGTCCACAGCATGTTCGGGCTCAAACTCATTGCCCTTAGACAGGGAATCACCTGTCACTCAGGAGTGTTGGGTATGGAGGGACCTTCTTCCTGGAGGTGCCTTTCTGTCTTTTCTTCTCTATCTGCCCTTTTGTTAGTCCCATCTCTCTGTTTTTGATCATACTCTTGGGGCTGCTTGCTACAAACAGGTATGCTGGGTAGAGGAGAGGTTATCTTCAGCTGAACTTTAGATTTTTTAGTTTGCCAGTGTCCTGTAGGCAGCAGTATAACCCGACAGTAGATGTGTCCCTCAATGGACTGCAAGAAAATGATTTTATGGTGAGTAAAGAGTCCTATTTATCTTTGTATTATGTTACTGTGTTTGTTGCCCTGTGAGCGGTTATTATAATGACACTTTTTTAGGAAGAGTCTCTTGATATCTTTTAATGTTTACTTTCCATATTCACAGTGTGTGGAAGAAATTCTGGGTTACCTGAAGTCCTGTTTTAGCAGGGAACCGGTGATGGTCACAATCTGTGTGCAACAGGTAACCTAAAACAAACTGTGTGATAAGTAATAACTGATTATCTGCAGAGAGAATAATAATAAAAAAAGTCTTTTTTTTTTTTTTTTTTCTTTTATGATAATGTTATTTTTCTTTATATTATATTTCTTTATACTATTATATTTCTTAGCTATTAAAGACCCTTTTTGGAACCAACTTGGCATCCCAGTTTGAGGCGCTGTCTTCGAACCCTAGTAAAACCCAGGGAAAAGCACAGCGCCTTGGCTCATCTAACCTACGACCTGGTTTGTACCATTACTGTTTCATGGCTCCATATACACACTTTACCCAGGCTCTTGCAGATGCCAGTCTCCGTAACATGGTCCAAGCTGATCAAGAGCAAGACACGTCAGGGTAAGCAAACACCTTAAGACTGAGGTTTAATCTGCTTTATACGTATTTTACTTTTCCAGGCTCCCCCCTCCCCTCCATTAACACAGTAATTCTATTTTAAAATAAATTGTTTTTGTTTTCTTCACATACCTTCAGGACCCAGTAAACATCATCACTGGGTCTCTGCACGTCTGTGCAATGCAGATAAATTATACCTGGTTGGAGGGGCTGGCAAGGTCCTGTTTACTGCTTACTGAAAACCTCGCAGCATTCTGTCTCAGTACACTTTTCAACAGCCCCCAGCCCCCATTCAAACAGTATGCTGGTTTTTGGAATGAGTTATACAAATCTCAAAATGTGCGGATGTCAGTCTGGAGAAATTAGTGTACTTAGTGTGGTCTGAATGCCAGTTTAACCTGTCTAAGTAATTCCCACATGTGATGCTGAGCCTCGATAATTGAAAGAGCTGATATCCAAAGAATGACAGTGCAGGTTAGGGACTTTAAGGCTGGTGAGACAGGGCTTGATGATGCTGGATGTTCAGGTAAAAAAATCAGATCTCAGAGAGGTTCTATCTGACTTGCCCTAGCTTCTATTGCACACAGTGGTGCAATGAAATCAGATTAAGCATTTTCAGTACAGGACAGGAGCCTGTACAACTGTGCAAGGAAGTTCAGCTTTAAGATAGCTAGCACTTTATATTGTTTCCTCCTGTTCAGTTCATACTTCTGTAAATTGTCCCTTTTTAAAATATTTGCTTTGATTTGTCTGTTAAATGTTGTAACATTAAAACACAGACTGGTTGCTTATTTATTCTAGGTGGTTTGATGTGCTCCAGAAGGTTTCCTCTCAGCTGAAGAACAGCATTACCAATGTTACTAAGCACCGTGCAGACAAGGTACAGCTTGCTTTCATTTCAGACTCTTCTGACCCTCTTGTCTGTATTTTTAGGAGGTGATTGGCTGGAGACGTTATCAGTCAGAACCTTGTGCTAGCAAGGATCTAATTACCCTTTATAGCCAGTGTACAAATATGCAATTTGGCTGTATAGGGTTGGAAGAAAATCAGTATCATTCTTTGTTACTTTCTGTACTAGTATGGTAAAAGGTCTCTGGTTTGTCCAGCTTCTTACCTCTTTTTGTGTCAGAGTTTACTTAAAGGGTAACTCAATTGCCATAGGGGAAAAAAATATCACAAATAAAAAAATATATAATTTTGATACAAGCCATATTGTTATATAATGTTAATTACTTATCCTCTTCAATTTGCAGTGCTTTAATTTTCTGTAAAATGCAATATTGCTACCTGCCATACGGCAAAACCCAAACGGCTGGTTTGCTTGTTACCCTGGGCCTAAACATTGCTCTTCCACCATATGGTGGCAACATGTCTGATTTTGGACACGTGCCCTCAGCTCAGATTCTACCAATGGTTATGGTGGTTCATGCTAGTGCCCCTTCTAACAGTGCTGACGTCAGCAGCAGCAGTTTTGGTTTATTTGGGGACTTTTTGGGCCTGTTAGCATGTGCTTGCTATGTTGCCCACAACTCAGTTGGACTGCTTTTGGGCATCCAGAAAGATCCCACCCCTTTGTGTTTATAATCATGCTTTAGATACTGCGTTGACTTAAAACTGGGTTGTGCTGGTAGTGGGGAGGTTATCCTGGGCTAACCTACAGTTTGCCATTGTATAATTCTACTGTAGACGTTGGTATAACCTGTGACGGGCGCAGTGTCAGACCCCAGCTCTTCTCACCAACTTGTGACCGAAGGACTAGCCAATCTAAAACCGCGCTGCCACTAGCGTAACAATGCCACTCTCAGATGCACCCTGCACAAAGATTTTCCAGCTCACTGGACCCCAATCTAGGTGACAACAGCCTGAGATCGATTGTTACTGGGTCAGGTTAATGACGCAATTAACCCTTCACACTGCCACCACCACCTTTTTACAGAAAAGGAGGAAACTCACAAATCTTAGCAGTAACACTATGATGTTTGAATAAGCGTCTGTATACACACTGTCACCACAGACAGATGTATGCAGAAGTTTTAAAACACACAGTAGCACTCTTCAGAGACAGGGATTCTTAGTTTGCATTCAAGAGCTTTAGAAACAGTTTAACACTTTTCAGAAAATAGGATTTATTACTAAAAAGGTCAAAATGGTGCAATAAATATATTTACAAAAAAGATGTAACCAATATATAGAGAGAGACAGAGAGAGAGAGACAGAGAGAGAGAGACAGAGAGAGAGAGACAGAGAGAGAGAGACAGAGAGAGAGAGACAGAGAGAGAGAGAGACAGAGAGAGAGAGACAGAGAGAGAGAGACAGAGAGAGAGAGAGAGAGAGACTGAGAGAGAGAGCGAGACTGAGAGACTTGCAGAAGTCCTGCTTTAAGCAGCGTTCAAGTGTCCTGAACAAAAGAGTATCTTTTCTCCCGAAGTTGGTTACTGATGTTAAAAGGGAGAATCTCTTCATCTTTCTCCAGGCATGACAGCCTGGTTGAGAAACCGTGGTCTAAGTGATCACATTTTAATCTACCTTTATGTACAATTACATGCTCTTAAATTCTCAGTTATAATATTCATTGTTCTAAAAATAAAAACAAATTGTTCATTATTTTTTTTTTACGTTGACATTTTTGTAGAATACGATTCATAACCACATTCGTCTGTTTGAGCCTCTGGTGATTAAAGCATTGAAGCAGTACACCACTACTACATCTGTGCAGCTGCAGAGACAGGTTCTTGATCTTCTAGCTCAACTTGTCCAGCTTCGAGTCAACTACTGTCTGCTAGACTCTGATCAGGTAATATCCATCACTTAACAGGATACAATGGATTTAAAAACCTTTCTTCAACAACCAAGCACCCTTTGATATATACAGTGGGGCAAAAAAGTATTTAGTCAGCCACCAATTGTGCAAGTTCTCCCACTTAAAAAGATGAGAGAGGCCTGTAATTGGCATCATAGGTAGACCTCAACTATGAGAGACAAAATGAGAAAAAAAATCCAGACAATCACATTGGCTGATTTGGAAAGAATTTATTTGCAAATTATGGTGGAAAATAAGTATTTGGTCAATATCAAAAGTTCATCTCAATACATTGTTATATATCCTTTGTTGGCAATGACAGAGGTCAAACGTTTCCTGTAAGTCTTCACAAGATTGGCACACACTGTTGCTGGTATGTTGGCCCATTCCTCCATGCAGATCTCCTTTAGAGCAGTGATGTTTTGGGGCTGTCGCTGGGCAACACAGACTTTCAACTCCCTCCAAAGGTTTTCTATGGGGTTGAGATCTGGAGACTGGCTAGTCCACTCCAGGACCTTGAAATGTTTCTTACAAAGCCACTCCTTCATTGCTCGGGTGGTATGTTTGTGATCATTGTCATGTTGGAAGACCCAGCCACGTTTCATCTTCAATGCCTTTGCTGATGGAAGGAGGTTTGCACTCAAAATCTCACGATACATGGCCCCATTCATTCTGTCCTGTACGTGGATCATTCGTCCTGGTCCCTTTGCGGAGAAACAGCCCCAAAGCATGATGTTGTCACCCCCATGCTTCACAGTAGGTATGGTGTTCTTTGGATGCAAACTCAGCATTCTCTCTCCTCCAAACACGACGAGTTGTGTTTCTACCAAACAGTTCTATTTTGGTTTCATCTGACCATATGACATTCTCCCAATCCTCTTCTGGATCATCCAAATGCTCTCTAGCAAACTTCAGATGGGCCCGGACATGTACTGGCTTAAGCAGGGGGACTCGTCTGGCACTGCAGGATCTGAGTCCCTGGCGGCGTAGTGTGTTTACTGATGGTAGCCTTTGTTACGTTGGTCCCAGCTCTCTGCAGGTCATTCACTAGGTCCCCCTGTGTGGTCCTGGGTTTTTTGCTCACCGTTCTTGTGATCATTTTGACCCCACGGGGTGAGATCTTGCGTGGAGCCCCAGATCGAGGGAGATTATCAGTGGTCTTGTATGTCTTCCATTTTCTAATTATTGCTCCCACAGTTGATTTGTTCACACCAAGCTGCTTGCCTATTGCAGATTCAGTCTTCCCAGCCTGGTGCAGGTCTACAATTTTGTTTCTGGTGTCCTTCAACAGCTCTTTGGTCTTCACCATAGTGGAGTTTGGAGTGTGACTGTTTGAGGTTGTGGACAGGTGTCTTTTATACTGATAACAAGTTCAAACAGGTGCCATTGATACAGGTAATGAGTGCAGGACAGAGGAGCCTCTTAAAGAAGAAGGTACAGGTCTGTGAGAGCCAGAAATCTTGCTTGTTTGTAGGTGACCAAATACTTATTTTCCACCATAATTTGCAAATAAATTCTTTCCAAATCAGCCAATGTGATTGTCTGGATTTTCTTTTCTCATTTTGTCTCTCATAGTTGAGGTCTACCTATGATGACAATTACAGGCCTCTCTCATCTTTTTTTTTTTTTTTTTTTTTTTTTTTTTTATTCAACCAAGTTTGAAAAAACAAAATTCAAGAAAAATATATAAAAACGTAATTGAAATTACTTTACTTTCTTTTTAAACATGAACTCTTTTTTGCTCCTGCAGGTGTTCATTGGTTTTGTGCTGAAGCAGTTTGAGTACATTGAAGTAGGTCAGTTCAGGTAAGATCCTCTGCTGTATGCCCAAATGCCAGATCATCTTTGGATTTGTGTGCAGGTGATATCCCATTTACTTGTTAAGTTTCTTTTGTTAAATTGACAGGGAATCAGAAGCCATCATTCCCAATGTCTTCTTCTTCCTGGTATTGCTGTCCTATGAAAGGTACCACTCTAAGCAGATCATCGGCATTCCTAAAATCATTCAGCTGTGTGACGGTATCATGGCCAGCGGAAGGAAAGCTGTGACCCATGGTATAAATACATTAATAATTTTTATTTATTTTTTTTTTTATAAATCAGATCTTTTTATTTGGTTTTTGATCATTTAGTTTTTTAACGAACACACAACTTGTGCGCAACATACTACAAACAAAACAAAGGACAATGGTCATACAGTGATAAAACAGCAATCCGTAAATAGAACACATACAAAAGAAAAAAAAGGGGGGGGGGGGTGGTAATTTTGTATATACCACTTGAATATAGAGTTAGGTCCATATATATTTGGATAATAAAGTGATAAAGCGAGCGCTAAACTTAATTGATGGAATAAGCAGCTGAACACACTAAAAGGTGAACCACAATGCCTTCATATAGTAAATATAGGTGCAGCGCTAGATGTTGAACAAAAAGCCTAATGTAGGTCTTATACATGCATCTATGAAATAAATGCGTTATGCATATATATAGTAAACATGAATAGTCACAAAAGTACACTGGAGGTGAACGAATGAATTAGTTTGTGAATGTTCATAAAAAACGCATGATCATGACATACGTAGAAGTATTATAATCTCCAAATATCTTAAGATCAAGTGCAATCTTCAAATAACTTGTCTGGAGTCCCAAAATGTTACTTCTCCTTGGGATGATATGATAAATATACAGAGTGCGCACTTACCAGATGCGCTAATTGAAAGCGCGTTGTATATTATACTCCTGGTATACAGGGGTCCCTCAAGTATGGATAAAGGTGCAGCCTGAGGGTGGATGATCTTCCTCAAAGTGCTGAGGTAAGATGGTCCGTATAGGTAGCTCAAACTCTTCAGGGTGCTGGAACACCAACTGGAAGTGGTGCTGGGGGATTTAAGGTGCTCAATGCAGAGCAAACATTAGGAATATCCCATAGTGTAGTATTATGAAGGTGCTTTATTGGTAATCTTAAAAGTTATATTTAAAAAACGTACAAAAAGATGTCCAAAGCAGTGTGCTTACAGTGAAGCACACTGACACGGCCCCCCTAGTAAAACACACTCCCTCCCTCTGATGGCCCCTCATGTTAATCCCTTCCTGCTTAGTGCCATTAGTACAGTGTCAGTGCTTTTTTTTTTTTTTTTTTTTTTTATAGCACTAATCATTCTATTTGTGTCACTGGGAATGTCAATGACACCAAGTCAGTTCCCCCCAGTGTCAGAATGTCCGCCGCAGTCCTGCTATAAGTCACTGATCGCTGCCATTACTAGTAAAAAAAAAGATAGTAAAGTAAAAAAATTCCAGTATCTATACCGCCATTTGTAGACGCTGTAACTTTCACATAAACCAATTAATTTACATGTATTGGGAATTTTTTTTTTTGCCAAAAATATAGGTTTTTTTTTCCTCAAAATTGTTCTTTTTTTTTTTTTTTTTTCTTCCAATAATCAAAATAAATATGGTATCCAAATGTAAATGAAATAACAAATATATAATGAACACCCTATAGCATATAAGTCTATCTTTCATCCTTGAAAGTATAATAATTTATATCATACCTCAATATGCTCAAACCCTATTTACAAATCAATGATTGTGAAAAATTATAATCTCCAAAAAATATATATATTATAGTCTCCAAAAAAATCTAAAACAGAAATCCAAAAATTATGCACTCGTGTCCAAAAATTAAAGTCATACACCAAATAAATTCCAATGATGAAAATCCAAATCCTCAATGGGGAGCCTTCAAAATGGCTCCAAATGACAATGTGAACCTCAAAAAAAAAAAAAAAAAAAAAAAAAAAAAAAAAAAAAAAAAAAACTATATAGTGTATTACCCTTATATAAAAAAAAGATCTAAAATAAACAGTAATAATCAAAATAACCATATATTAACCATTTCAATACCATGCAATTTTACACCTTCCTGCCCAGGCCAGTTTTCATGTTTCAGCGCTCTCACACTTTGAATGACAATTGCGCGGTCATACAACATTGTACCCAAACTAAAATTTTATCATTTTCTTCACACAACTAGAGCTTTCTTTTGGTGGTATTTAATCACTGCTGGAGTTTTTATTTTTTGCTAAATTACCAAAAAAAAGACCAAAAATTTAAAAAAAAAAAAACACGTTTTTCATGAAAAAAATTTAAAAAATTATTTTCACAATTTTTTTTTTTACATACTGTCACAAGTGCAGTACAGCGTCATCATATAACTGGCATGGCGGTGAACAGGGACACTGACTGGTGACAGTATGGAAAAAAAAAAAAAATATATATATATATATATATATATATATTTTATTATTATTTTTAATTTTTTATTACATTTTTTTTATTTTTTTAAGATTTTTTTAAAGATTTTACTATGACCAAAGTAGTACAATGTTACCATAGTAACATTGTACTACTTTGGGGAAGTGATCAGTATTTTTTTTTTTTTTTTTTACACAATTTGCTTATAGCAAAGAATTACTTTGCTGTAAGCAAGCATTTACCAGAATGAAATCGATTCATTCAGTTTTTTTTTTTTTTGTGCTTCTCTGTGATTTGGTCACAGCTAATCACATGACATGTGCATGTGACCTGCTGTGACCATTCACAGCTAGGCACTAGTATACAATGGATGGCATGAATGAAGCCATCCATTGTATACAACTGTCATGTGACCTGCTGTGATTGGTCACAGCAGGTCACATGGTACCAGCAACGGGGGCCGGTACTCAGATCTGTCATTGGCCGTGTCCGAGGTACACGGCCGGTGACCGATCGCGCCGCTGTGCCGCTCTGCAGTTGCGCGAACTGAGCATGTGCGGGAGCACGCCAAATAGCGTGAACCCGGAATGCAGAAGCACTTTTGCTGCCGCCAAACGGCCATTGGCCGGGCGGCAAATGGTTAAATACACTGTGCCACTTCACATCAGTCATGACCATATAAGTGAAAAAGTGAGCTCTGTGTGGTAACCGTGCCAGTGAATCCCTCTTGTGAATAAAATTATCTAGGTGCCAATAACAGTGTACACTTCTACAGTGTAAAAAAATAAATACCCTTACCAAATGGCCATATAACCACGCTTTAATACCACAAAGGGTATAATTAATCCAAGGAATGCTTTCTTAGCCTGGGTATTAATCTTTTAAGATGTCATCATAGCCTCATCCCTAGATGTCATCAGGACTTTTAGCAGGAGTACTCCATATTACTCATAGTATCCATGCTCCATCGATATACATGATATATGGAAATGATATATAGTGTGTTTCCGTATAACATTAATCAAATTATACTTTATTAATTGCTTTTACATTAAAACAAATTTAAAAATGCCATATTCCCATGATCCAAACCTCTGTAGTGTCCGAACAGCTTCCAGGAACGTTTGGTAGGAAATTCCACTTTCCAAAATGGCCGATTTGCCACTTCCGGTTCCTCCATGTGCGTCTGACGTCAGTTCCCTTGACGCGTTTCATCACTTCCACGGACGTAATATGATATATGTTATTTTGATCATTACTGATTACTCTTTTTAATATAAGGGTAATAAACTATATAGTGTTTCCTTTTTTCTGAGGTTCACATTGTCATTTGGAGCCATTTGGAAGGCTCCCCATTGAGGATTTGGATTTTCTTCATTGGAATTTATTTGGTGTATGACTTTAATTTTTGGACACGAGTGCATAATTTTTGGATTTTTGTTTTATATTTTTTTGGAGACTATAATATATATATTTTTTGGAGATTATAATTTTTCACAATCATTGATTTGTAAATAGGGTTTGAGCATTATGAGGTATGATATAATTTTTTTTTATAGCGCACAAAATAAAAACTGCACAGGCAATCAAATACCACCAAAGGAAGGCTCAATTCGTGGGGAAAAAAAAGGACGTAAATTTCATTTGGGTGCAGCATTGCATGACTGCGCAATTTCCAGTTAAAGTAACACAGTGCCTTCACGCAAAAAAATCCTCAGAAGGGCAAGTGGTTAAGATAGCACTTAACTTGCATAGAATACCAATATACCACAACAGACAGAAAAATATACATTCTTGTTATGCAGCACACTACAGCACATGGTACTGGGGATACCATAACATTTTTATTTTGATTATTATACAGGATTTATATAGCGCCAACAGTTTGCTCACCGCTTTACATTATAGTGGGAGACAATACAGTAACAATACAGTTCAGTACAAGAGGGTTAGGAGGGCCTGATCCTTGGAGCTTACAATCTAGGAGGGAGTCTTGATGAGGCGTTAGGGTTTGTAGGTTCACACTAGAGCTATATACTGTAAGAGGTCTACAACTGCCTTAGGCTTTTGCATCAGTGATGATCAGGAAATGAGTGTCTGGTCTTAATACGGTAGTAAACTTGTTTGGGGGAAAAAAAAAAAAGTTTCCCCCGTCAAGGTAATAACATAATTTGCTAGTATGCATCACATATTAGCACATTCTGTGAAACGTACCTTAAAACTAAGCCCTCCAGCGGCGCACTGTCACTGCTGACAGGACTTCCATCTTCATCCGGCCTTCTTTCCGGGTTCCCTGGCTGCATCTGCTTGAATAGCTGAGCTGCTGTTGACGTTGGCCACGGCACACCGCTCTGAAGGAACGGCATGGGTAATGCCGTTCCTTCAGAGCGCATGCGCCAGTGATGTCACCGTCTGCTGCTCTGTAGAATCTCTCCTAAACGGTGCACATTCAAGAGATATATTCATTTTAGCTACAGGAAAGCTTTATTATAAAAGAGAAATGAGAATTTACTACTACTATAACAGACCTCCCCAGACTGAACCTGCTTTAAGAGGATCTTCACCCTAGAAAGAAGCCAAAAAACCTGTAGTTGCTGACTTTTAATAAAAAGGCACTTACCTGTTCAGGGATCCAGCATTGTCCTCATCTGGGCTGGTTTTCTTCCGGTCTTCAGGTCTCCATCACCAGCATGTTTACTGTAGGAAGCCGGCTGTGATTCCTTGTGGCTTCACAGCCACCTTCCCACTGCGCGTGTAAAGAGGGGAAACTCCTTCTCGGATTGCGTAGGTGATCCAAGTGAGAGTGGGTGCCAATCAAAACTCCTCAAACCTGCTCCTCCCAAAAAATTATAATGTGCCAAATGTGGTGGGCGGGGGGAGGAGAACATAAAGCAGAACTACCATTTTAGAGTGAAGTTCTGCTTTATAATAGAAAGAGATCACTATTTGGTTTTCTCCTGATATAGACCAGGGGTGGGTAAACGTTTTGACTTGAGGGCCGCAATGGGTTCATATATTGGACCCGGGGGCCGGACCAAGAGTAGATGAATGATGTGTATGTGTCATCCATAGTAAGTATAGTAATATTCCCCATAGTAAGCATAGTAATTCATCCCCCATATAGTAATTCATCCCCCATAGTAATTCATATAGTAATTCATCCCCCCCCCCTATAGTAATTCATCCCCCCTATAGTAATTCATCCCCCCCTATAGTAATTCATCCTCCCTATAGTAATTCATCCCCCATATAGTAATTCATCCCCCATATAGTAATTCATCCCCCATATAGTAATTCATCCCCCATATAGTAATTTATCCCCCATATTAATTCATCCCTCATATAGTGTTTCATCCCCCACAGTACTATTCCCCCCCAAGTAGTAAGCCAAGTCCCCCCTGTGTCAATTCACTTACCTTTGCTCCGCGCGTTCCTCTCGCCGTGTTCCCGCGCCGTTCCGGTCTTCAGGGCGGACTGTGAGAGGAGCCTAGCTCCCCTCCCCTCGAGTTCGTCACGCTGCCCCGCCTACACACATCCTGACAGCCACATCCGTGGGCCGGATTAAAAGGTCCGCCGGGCCGTAGTTTGCCCATTGCTGATATAGACTGTTGTCATGCATATCCCATGGGAAAAGCACGGATTCTTTTTAAGAACGTACAAACAGAAAAGCGTTTTTTTTTTTTCCAGGGTACAATAACATTGAGTAAGCGTCCCTGTCATTTTGTTATGTTAGGCTTAAATTGTCCAGGCAAAATCCAAATTAGCTGCATAACTTCTTCCCCCCCAGGAGCCTGGGGCAGGGGATTTCCTACCTCTGTTACTTAACACTTACAGACATACAAACTTTTCAAGATATAGCAGGTAATGGTGGGGTTGAGTATGCTTTCTGCAATGTCTGCAGGGAATAGTAAAAGTACTACCTATATAAATGTGTTTTTATTGGATATGCTTTTCTTATTCCTGGTTTTTTTTTGGTCCTCCATGCACTCTGGCTTAAAAAACTCTACAGGAGTTTATTTCTTTTTGCCCGTATAGAGGCATATTTTAAGTTCAGTGTTTAGAAGCGGAAAAATAAATGATAAACACTCCTAAACATTGTACAAAAACACTCAGCATGAGCGTTTTTTTTTTTTTTTTTTTTGTCCTGCCAAGGGAACTGGTGTTTTTTAAGCCCATTGTGCATGGAGCCTTAATTTTTTTTAATGCGTCATTCAATTTTGGTATATAAGATTTAGTGTCTTTCTATAATTGCATTCTCTTATACTTCAGCTATTCCAGCCCTGCAGCCCATAGTCCATGACCTGTTTGTATTACGAGGAGCCAATAAAGCTGATGCCGGGAAAGAGCTGGAGACTCAGAAGGAAGTGGTGGTGTCAATGCTGCTCAGACTCATCCAGTACCATCAGGTTCTAGAGATGTTTATCCTTGTTCTGCAGCAGTGTCACAAAGAGAATGAAGACAAGTGGAAGAGGCTCTCCCGTCAGATAGCCGACATCATTCTGCCCATGTTGTCAAAGCAGCAGGTCAGTAACTCCCTATGTCTTCATGATCAGCTATGGAAATGGTTAGTGGTCTTTTGGCTTCTTCAGAACATCATAGGATTATTTTTTCCTTCCATATGCACCCCTTCTCAAAAGGCAAAAACTTATAACTGCTGCACTCCACCAGGGCAGCGTGGCACCATAATTAGAGTTTTTTTGGCAAAAACCATGTGTTCTGGTGTGGAAATCTTAACACTGAAGTCTCCATGTCTTTTCAGCTTGTTACCAACCCCATGAAACTGAAACATGCATTTTTGGATGTAGTTGGTCTCTGAACTGGTTGTTTGATGAAATCAGTAATGTTAATGTGCAATTTGTTATGTCTTTAGATGCACATAGACTCCCATGACGCCCTGGGTGTGTTGAACACTCTGTTTGAAACTCTTGCTCCCTCTTCCTTACGTCCTGTAGACATGCTACTGAGAAGTATGTTTGTCATCCCATACACTATGGTAAGTAATTAGAGAATACATGGCTTTATTGTCATTGGTACAAAATAAAAAATTATAATAAACTAGTATAGGGGTTTTAATATTTCCTGATCTATCCAAAGCTAAATTAGTCATTTTGTTTTTAGATATGTTTTTAAGGTCACATAGTTTCATTTCTCTGGTCATTTTCTATTTGCTTCACTGAAAAAGAAAATGGCCTTAAACGGAACCTAAAATAATGTGTAATGATTTGCACAACTCTGCTTTCTCTCTTTAAGGGATATTTGTACTTTCACCTATCCCAGTTCTTTTGAGAACTTTATTGAGCAATCAACTGGGAGCTGCACAGCTGCCACTTCAGAAATCTACTGACCACTCTTCTCATATTTTACACATACACCACAGTCATTCAGTTTTTTGGAAATAATGCATTATACACAAAACCTGAGAGACAGAGAGAGGTTTATTATACTACATTCTATCTTATGTTTCTTTTGAGCAGGCCTCTGTAAGCACCGTCCAGCTCTGGATATCTGGAATCCTGGCCATCCTCAGAGTTCTCATCTCACAGTCTACAGAGGATATTGTTCTTTCCCGGATCCAGGAGCTCTCCTTCTCCCCACTTCTCATCTCATGTCAGAATATTGCCAAATTGCGGGAAAGAGACTATACCCAACAAAGTACTGAGAACTGTGCCGAGCAGAGCCAGGAAAAGGCCCCACCTGAGGAGACATTCTCTCGGTATGTGATGTTTTATTGATAGCCTATAATTGAAAGATGTGGATGAGTTGCGGACTGTTATCTCATTTGTAAGATCAGCGTAAAACAGACCTTTCCACCGTTTAACTTCTGTTATTCCTAGTGTATGTTACACTCTTGCTGCCTAGAAATATTTAAAGCAGGACTAAAGCCACCGATTTAACTGTTTATCAAAGCCGTTACATTCTCGGCATGCCATGAATGAGATATGTCACAGTTGCTTGTGCTCTCAACTGATCTGTCAAGCTATCATGTGGCTGGTGTCATAACTGATCACGTGCTCAGGCCTGGCCTGGGGCGGTTGCAAGGGTGTTTGCAGGGCAGTTGGTGATGAAATATTCACGGAGTCAGTCCTCTGCACTGTAATGTAAAGGAGCACTGTGATATAAAGGGGGCTGCACTGTAAAGGGGCACTGTATTGATTACAGTGCCCCTTTATGGCACAGTCCCCTTTACATTACAGTGCCCCTAGAGATCTAATCATAGTTCCCCCTATATATTCAAAGAGATGGCCCAATCCAGCAAAGAGACATCCCAATGCAGCAAACAAACATCCCCTTATAGCAAAGAGATAGCCCGTCCAGCAAAGAAAGAGCCCAATCCACCGCTGAGCTGTAACATTGTGTCTGCGGGTGAAGGAGAGAGGCTGCCGTTGTCCCTTCAGTGCGGCTGTGTACGGTGGCCGGTTGGGACCCTCGGCGGCGCTTCCTGCCTGTCGCTGGAGTCGTCACTGCCACTCCTCCTGTCAGCCCTGCTTTGTGCATAGGCGCACAACGGGAGATGAGTGGCGGCCGCGGTCTGTGTTAGCTCTGTTCAGACCGCGGTTGCCAATTGCCTCCTGCTGTGCGACCCGGCCGCCCGGTCATCAACAGGCCACTCTTCTTTAGCCTGGCAACCCCGGCCCAGTGGGCAAATGCCCGGTGTGTCCTATTGCCAGTCCGGGCCTGCATGTGCTGCACCATGGCAACTACAGATCATCTAGAGCAGGGATACTGAATTAAACTTCACAGAGGTCCATTTGGTAACATTTTCTTTCTGCAGATGTCCAAAACTAATTTTTCTTCTGTTACTCAGGTCTTTCACAGCACAGCCCCCTTTACATTGTTGAAGTTACAGGAGGGAAGCAGGTGGGAGGAATGGAAGGAAGGACTCCTCTTCTGAATGTACCAGCTTGTCGCCACTGAATTCAGAGCAGGGAGGAGGGCGGGAGGCACAGAAGGTGTCTGCTGAGGGCAGGGGCTTCGCAATTCTTCTTGTTAAAAAGTTAAACGCATGAAAGGTTAGCTCCCCTTCCTCCCTCCCCCTGTAGACCTGCAGTGTCTCTTGCCCTCTTCCCTGCTCTGAGTTCAGCGCCGGCAAGCTGGTACATTCAAAAGAGGAGTCCTTCCTTACATTTCTCCTGCCCTCTTCCCTGCTGTGATTTCAACAGCAGTAGTGACGAGAACGGTGGCGGCAGAGTACACACAGAACAGGAGTCCACCTTGCCATTCCTCCAGATCTCTAACAGCTGCAGCCGCGGGAGGAGAGGAGTCCACTCAGGGTGCTAAGTGGTGTGGTCACGGTCCAGACAGGACTGTCACTCAGTCTGTGTTTTGGACCGCGTTCCGCCATTTAGTGACACCTGATCTAGAGGCTAAAATGACAGATTCCTTGGCTGTAAAACAATAGGAGGATTTAGTTCTCCCTTAAACTCTACTGTAACAATTTGTTGGAGTGATGCTGCTGGTTGTGCTGGATTATCTCCATAGGATACTATTTAATGTTTGAAGTTCTGTAGCCATATGGCAGAACTTCCCAAATGTCTTTTGTAACCTAAAGTGTTACTAAACCCCGGACCCTGCATTCACTATATCTGGTCTCCCACAGTACACAGAACATGGAAATGCAATTACTTTAGTAATTATAAACTGCTAAATACCTTTTCCCATCAGCAGTTAGAGCAGTCTTGTGACTTCTGTCAGTGTTCAGTGGAGCACTAGTTAAATATTTGGGAGGGATTTTTATTCTTCCCATTGATGCTGCAGGACCCCTGACCCTCTGTCTAGACCAGCAATGGGCAAACTACGGCCTGCGGGCCATATACGGCCCGGCAGACCTTTTAATCCGGCCCGCAGCCAGGGCAGGCAAACATTGGCTGTCAGGATGTGTGTAGGCGGGGCAGCGTGACGAACGTGAGGGGAGCTAGGCTCTTCTCACAGTCCGCCCTGAAGACCGGAACGGCGCGGGAACACGGCGAGAGGAACGCACGGAGCAAAGGTAAGTGAATTGACACGGGGGACTTGGCTTACTACTTGGGAGGGAATAGTACTGTGGGGGATGAAATACTATATGAGGGATGAATTAATATGGGGGATGAATTACTATGGGGAATGAATTACTATAGGGGGGATGGATTACTATATGGGGGATGAATTACTATATGGGGGATGAATTACTATGGGGGATGAATTACTATATGGGGGATTAATTACTATGCTTACTATGGGGGAATATTACTATACTTACTATGGATGACACATACACATCATTCATCTACTCTTGGTCCGGCCCCCGGGTCCAATATATGAACCCATTGCGGCCCTCAAGTCAAAAAGTTTGCCCACCCCTGGTCTAGACAGTGATGATTGGTCCTGTGCTAATCATATGCACTCTCCCAAGAAAAAAAAACCTCTAGCAATACACAGCAAACTGAGCAGTACTACTGACAGTAGAAGAAGGGGAGGATCAGAGAAGACCGGATCAAACATCCTTTTAACACAATGCAGAGGATTAACCCCTTAGGTTCCACAGTGAGTATAACAAGCATGCTTTATTACATATGCAGACTGATTTTACTGTTGTGGGTTTAGTAACACTTTAAGGCGGCCATAGATGGATCTAATCTGGGCTTGTTCAGCAGGGACTGGTGAAGATTTGATCCATTTATACGCAGGCATTTTGAACCCACGTTGATCCATTCAGAAATATTTTTACATGCGATTTCTGCCGGCAGCTATAGCTGCTAGCTGTAATTATTGTGTTCTGCAAGCCAGGAAGGCTCTCTGCTGGCAGAGCACAATATCACTGCAGGAGGGATTACCCCTTCAACACACCCGTGGTGGAAGGGAAAACAAATCTCAATGTCATTGGACGGAAAGTTGGAAGATAGGCAGCGCTTTGTTCTGAATTTGAGAGCAAAGAGAACCCAGTTTTAGTGAAGGGCAAATTTAAATGAAAAAAAGCACAGGACATTTTACAATGTTAAAATTTAATTTAAGCTTGCATTAAGATTTGTGGCTTATTTCTTTCCTTCATTAACTGGGGCGGCACAGAGGCTTAGTGGTTAGCACGTCTGCCTTGCAGTAAATGGGTCATGGGTTTGATTCCTGACCATGGCGCCTCCTGCATGGAGTTTGCATGTTCTCCCTGTGTATGTAAGTTAGGGGCCTTAGATTGTACACCCCTTGAGGGTTAGGGACTGATGTGAATGTTCAATATATATGTGTAAAACTCTGTGTAAATTGACAGCACTATATAAGTACCTGAAATAAATAAATTAAATAAAACTCAGATTATGACCATAGACATGAATAGAGATTGATTCTGTCAGCGAAGCCTCTATGGTCTTTCCTATTTAGTCTAAATCAGGACTTGACAAATTTGCTTTGAATCCAGGAGCCAGCTAAAAAAAGTTAGGAGCCAGTTTTTTTAACCACTTGTCTACTGGTCACTTTTGCCCTCTTCCTGCCCAGACCAATTTTCAACTTTCAGCGCTGTCACACTTTAAAGGACAATTGTGCAGTTATGCAACACTGTACCCAAATTAAACTTTTATTTTTTTTGAGACAGATTTCTTTTAGTCGTATTTAATCACCACTGAGTTTTTTATTTGTTACTAAATACACAAAAACTAAAACTAAAAAAAAAATGAATCTTCAAATAAGTAATTTTCTTTACTGATGTTCAGTGATGAGGCTGCACTGATAGGGCTACCGATGAGGCTGCACTGATAGGGCCACTGAAGAGGCTGCACTGATAGGGCCACTGAAGAGGCTGCACTGATAGGGCCACTGAAGAGGCTGCACTGATAGGGCCACTGAAGAGGCTGCACTGATAGGGCCACTGAAGAGGCTGCACTGATAGGGCCACTGAAGAGGCTGCACTGATAGGGCCACTGATGAGGCCGCACTGATAGGGTGACTGATGAGGCCGCACTGATAGGGCTACCGATGAGGCTGCACTGATAGGGCCACTGAAGAGGCTGCACTGATAGGGCCACTGAAGAGGCTGCACTGATAGGGCCACTGAAGAGGCTGCACTGATAGGGCCACTGAAGAGGCTGCACTGATAGGGCCACTGAAGAGGCTGCACTGATAGGGTGACTGATGAGGCCGCACTGATAGGGCTACCGATGAGGCTGCACTGATAGGGCCACTGAAGAGGCTGCACTGATAGGGCCACTGAAGAGGCTGCACTGATAGGGCCACTGAAGAGGCTGCACTGATAGGGCCACTGAAGAGGCTGCACTGATAGGGCCACTGAAGAGGCTGCACTGATAGGGCCACTGAAGAGGCTGCACTGATAGGGCCACTGAAGAGGCTGCACTGATAGGGCCACTGAAGAGGCTGCACTGATAGGGCCACTGAAGAGGCCGCACTGATAGGGCCACTGATGAGGCCGCACTGATAGGGCCACTGATGAGGCCGCACTGATAGGGCCACTGATGAGGCCGCACTGATAGGGTGACTGATGAGGCCGCACTGATAGGGTGACTGATGAGGCCGCACTGACAGGACTACTGATGAGGCTGCACTGATCTGATGGGGACTGATGAGGCTACACTGATCTGATGGGGCACTGGTGAGGCTGCACTGATGGAGCCACTGATGAGGCTGCACTGATGGAGCCACTGATGAGGCTGCACTGATGAGGCTGCACTGATGGAGCCACTGATGAGGCTGCAGTGATGGAGCCACTGATGAGGCTGCACTGATGAGGCTGCA